ACAGGCCAAATGTTTCAGATTTTATTCAACCAATAGTCGAAAACCCAAAGATATGAACTTCACTGTCATATCTTACAAAAAAAACAAAACGTATGTCCTCACATTAACTTCTATTTAGTCTTCATTTACTTTCATTTTTTATTTAGTCTTCCTGCGTGGACATAAATAATCACCTCTCAGCATAAAGCAACACACTACAAACACTGAACATCATGCGCTTCATGATGGTGGAATTTATTGCAGGGCTGTTGGGTTAGACTGCATTAATTTTAGCTAGGGGTACCTAATAAACTGGTGACTCAGCCTGCACTGATGAAATTTCCTTCTTCACATTGTGGTATTAATTAAAGACATATCACCTCACCCGCATGCAGATCCTGTCTGAAGGAGACTGAAGACATTAACTGCGACTCAGCTCAGCGATGACCTCAGATCTGTGTCATTAAAATGCTGATTCATTCAAGCTGCTTCACCTGCGACGCAGCTGACACAACTTCAACACAACTCATTCAAGAAAGCCACACGACTTCTAGAGAAACCCTCCTGCTGAATGAGTCTTTCTGCCACCTGAAACTGAGACACAATCGGTCCAAATGTGTCAGAGGCAGCGCTGCACGATTTATGACTAAAAACAATAACCCAGAGCACTTCCTTTAACACTCAGATCACAATCATGTCGGCAGGGCTGTGGGGTCAAACCTCAGCACCGAGCACTGACTTCTAAAAACTGGTTAAGTGCTGGTCATGCTCACTTATTCTCTTAATCAGATAAGTCTGGTCCTTCATGGCCTTCTGGTAAACTTCAAACTGCCAACACACCAACACAACCGTACTCAACCACAGTGAGAAAACATTTTTACATGTTGCAGCCTCCACACCCAGCAGCCAGCAGCCAACAACATCAACTCACAATAAACCAGGAAAGACCCAACTAGTAATACTAGTTATAGTACCAGCTCTTGTGTCGTTTCTTTTTCTCTGCTGAAATACTACATGGTTTCATATCTGCTGTATGGGAATGTTTAAACACAGTTATTGAGGAAATTGCATCACACAAGCACAAAACTGATAAAAGATTAAAGCCAGAAAATTAGATTTTGTAAAAAGGGTCTATTTCTGTTGTGGTATGCTGAGTATTGGGACAAAATACATGGTGATAAATTGTGATTTAGTCTGTTCTTCTGTTCATATTCATTGCAGCCAAATGTATCTTGTGTACTGAAAAAAGCAATGATCATGTTATTCTAGCTTCGATACTCTGCACTGTGTGACGATATAATATGCAAAAAGAGAAATGTCAATTTATTTAAAACATCCGTGCACAAAACGAAGGGTGCTCAAAGTGCAAAAAATAATTTAAAGTGATTAAAAACAGCAGCAAACATTTCAGTCCTTGATGATCATCAGTGCTGACAGGACTGAAACTTTTGCTGCTGTTTTTAAATCATTTTAATTATTATTTTTTGCACTTTGAGCGCCTTTTTTTGTGCACGGATGTTGATCTCCGCCTGTGAAACTTTTTTTGGCTCGGTTGTCCATTGAACGCACCCAAGATAAACTTTTTGTTGCCCTAGGTAGGCGCAGTTTCACAGCAGCCATAAGACGATACGATATTGCCATGCTGTATCGATTGCTTTCCCAACCCCTGCTCTCAATATTAGGTATTAAGGTATCGTGTTCATTGGTCTTGTGCTTCAGTGCTGAACATTACCAAACCATTATTCAATTTAAGATGCACAAACCAGTCGTACACACAGTAAACCTGGAGCTTTACCTGAGGAGCCAAGTGGGCAGAGCAGGGTTATTCAGCCTAGTGTTGTAAAAATATCAATTTGTCAATACATATCGATACTGAATATTTTAAACAGTTTCAATGCTCATTTTCCATAGTATCAATTAGGGATGATAACGATTAATCAATGAGCGTTAAGAATTTAATCAAACTAAATATAATCTCAATAAAAATCTGATTCTGAAATCTAAACAATAAATGGGGTCGGGAAAAAGAGCACAGCGGCGACACTGGATAATGAAGCTGACAAAGCGAAGCATTATTCAGTTATATTCATTGTGTTTCATATTTCTAGCCCTCTACATCTTAAAATTATTTACAGGCTATGTAATGCTGTCACTTTGATTTGGTATTGTTTGATTTATTGATTGTTGATATTACCAATGATTAATTTAGGTCCAGGTAAAGGTAATTTTTAAATGTATCCTCTCAAAGTCAGTTTTTCGTGTATCTAGAAGGGTATCAAATATCAGTTTTTTCATGTTTTTGTATCTAAGGGTGCATTCACACCAGGATAGTCTGGGGGACTCTGGTTCGGTTCACTTTCACACTGCACTTTTTAAAGCGGACCAAACCGCCTGGACAATGTTACGCAGTTACAACAGCTGCTCGTTTGGGAGCGGTACTGCCTGAAACGACCACTGACCAGGAAGAAAAAAAGCACAAGGAAGAAGAAAACCCGGCTCGTGTACGAACCTCTCTGTTGTTTACGATCCGAGCCCACACCATAAGTCACTGTGTCGGGCTACAATCAGGCTGATATCATGTAGTGTGAATCAGGCATAAGTCTACTATCATATCGCCCAATCCCGGTGCCCTCTAACCTACATGTTCATAACACTGAACTCAGTAGTACTAATAACATTAGGGCTTGTTATCTTCCCAATTAACTGATCAATCGTTTTGTCAATAAAATCTCAGAAAGCAGTGAAACACACCCTGCTGTGTGACGTCTTTAAACAGTGTGTTTATTCTGAGCAACAGTGCAAAAATCCAAAGCTTTTCATTTTATTATCATGTATGACAAAGAAACGCATCAAATTATCATATTTAAGAGTCATGAAACCATCATGTTTGGATTTGTTGCTTAAAAATGACTAAAATAATTAAACAATTATCGAAATAGTCTGCCGTTAACTTTCTGTCATTCGACCAAAACCACATGCCACAAAAACAGTTTCTTCCCGACTGCAGTGAGTCTCATCAACAAGGCTGAGACCCAAAAAAACCCTCCAAAAAAGTGTTAGTCATATCTTTATTGAATTTTTCTTTTCTAAATATATGCTCTTGAGTATATAAGAACTTTACCTTATTTTTATTTTTCACAGGTTTATTGTTTGTCTTTATATATGCACCAAAAAACCAAAGCAAATTCCTTGTAAGTGATTCTGATTCTCACTAATCGATTAATCAACTAATTGCTGCAGCTCTGACTAATATTAATAATACAAAGGAAAGAAATTTTTCTATGTCTGTCATCTGCATAGTGACAACTCTCTCACCTGAAGCTACATCTGTGTACGGGAAGCAAACAGCAGTTAATCACAGCGAGCAGAAGCAAACACAGGCTGTGATTGGACAGACAGTTCACCTGTCAACACGCAGCCAGCGCCTGATTTACTGCACCAGAGCCACACTAAAATCACTCCTGATAAAGTCTGTTGAAAATTAATATACAATTAAAACACAGACCAATTTAAGACCAGCACACCAACAGACCACCATGCACCACTACTGCCTAAAAATAATAATAATAATAATAACAGCTTTACAGGAGAAATTTAAAACTCCCATTTAAAGCAGGAACAATGTTTCACCATTTAGCCAACACTAATCAATTTATATTAATATACAAAACAAGAACAAAGCAAAAGCTCTGCTAAGTTTGCTGTATGTCATGTTTAACTGCCTCCTGTTTGTGTTTGATTATTAATGTAGCTGCCATATAAAATAATTTCCTGTAAGGACCAATAAAGTATATATCTACCTATCTATATCACATATTATATATATATATATATAACTTAGATAAATATTAGTCCTGATACCATCCAGTCAGGGTTCAGCTGAAGGAGAAGTCACCTCAGGAGTTTTGCTCCTTGTCCTAACTTCACCTTTTACCAGTCAAGATTCAACATGCTCTGTAATGTGTAAGAGGCCTTAAATAAATTCAAATTAAGCAAATTAATTAAATATGTCAGAATAAACATGGTTATTCTGTCTTTTACTGACATCTCCTGCAGGAGCCAGAAGCCTCCGGTGCTACAGTATGAAACCGACACATCCTGGTTTAGCTAACGTTGCTAACAACCACTTAGCATTTGTGTCAGTGTAAATCCACTCTGGTAATCAGCTGTGTATTTAGCGTTTACACTGCTAACTGGGTGCACAATGTAAATTTACTTGACCTGGAATAACAGAAAATCAAGCTAGCTGAGCAGAAACCTCGATAAACACGTCCCAACTTCAATGTTAACACCGTCACGCCAAATTCCATTTTAAAAAACGACAATATAAAGTCGGCGCTCTTGTGACGGATGTCCGCAACATAAATCACGCTTTCAAGTCCGTAAAATGCGCAGTTTGGGTCTATTATTCACATCGGCATAGCTCAAATTCACCAAAACAAACACAATCCTTAAAAAACTAACTTTTTATGAGGTGTAAGCTTATCAGTACACGTTAACTTGGCTCACCCAGTAGAGGCGTGATACAGTCTAAAAGCTTTGATTGTGCTGTTATGTGTCTCATATGTATGCCGAATTTCTCAGAAGAACAACATAATTTGAAAAGTGTCTTAATTTGTGTTGAATTGTTTGATATATGCGTGGCAGAGAGTAACGCCACGTTAAAGTATAAGATTTTTGAACGGGATTCAGCGGGACGTTCCCTCCGCGGTAAGCAGGGTGACAGCGACGTTCACGTAACATAGTAAACAAGCCAACTTAGCCCTCGCAGCTAATGCTCGCTAACTACGCTAACGACGTATCGGAAATGGACAACATTTTCTGATGACGCTACGTAGCAAACAAAAACTAGACACTTAGTCGTGTTACGTTTATATTAACTATGAATGCACCAATTCAAAGCAGAGCGCTGTGTAGAGGCAGCGGTTAATGTTATGGTTATGGAGCCTGACAAGCCCAGGCAAGGCCTCTCTTCCTCCGGGCAGCTCTCCTCCTCCTGCCTCCGTCTCAGACTTACTTACCCTGGTCGAGGTGATGTCCATCATAACCTCCTGGAACGCGGCCGTCTCCTCGGCTTGTCGCTGGGTATGCAGCGCTATCTTCTCGCTAAACTTTCGGGGGTTGGAAGCCCCGGACCCGGCGCCCGAGGTGGGTCCGGGTCCGGGTCCACAGCCGCCTGTACCCGTCGCAGACATCTTCACCGAGCGGACGGGACGACTTGACGTAGTGGAATGATTTTCACCACAGAGAGGCGGGAGCGTGAAGAGATCTCACTCCGCTGCTTCTTCCGGGGACCGAAAATGTCGCTCACTGGGAGCTGATGAGTAACGAAATGTTTTTTTTTATTTTTTCATAAATTTTATTGAACAAATTGCACATATCACCAGTTTTAACAGTAACAATAAGCACAGTGCAAACAATAAAAAAAATAATGGTTGAATAAATTAAAAGAGGAAAAAGAAACTGAAGACACATTAGAGACACGTCTGTGACTCACAGATGGACACAAAGGGATCCAGTACAAAATCCAAAGCTTATTCCCAGAGAAAAGTTCCTTCACAAAAGCTTATACCTCATTTCAGTTACATATTCTACAGTTAATGCATGTCAGTAGAGTTTTATGGCCTTTTAATTGGTGCAAAATTTAATAGTATTGATGTAATTTTTAGTCTTAATAAAACACTGCAAATAAGCACCAAAGCTGCAGTAATGATAGCCTAATAACTGTAGCTGAAATATAGCCAGCGATGCATGATGCCCAGTAATTGTAGTTTTCTCCCAACATATAATCAATATTTTGAAAGTTTAACAACAGTATCACTCCTCAGATGCAACTTGATGATACCAGATTTATTTTTACCTACCAGAGTCTCCTATTATAAAAGGATTGGCAGGATGTTCCTGAGCTGCACATCTCTTGTGTTCCGTCGGCCATCTTGGTTTTGAGAGATTAGTGCTGCACTGACAACACCTGGCCAGTGGGTGGCAGTGTGTGGCATGACGCATAGGGTCCGCTGTGGTGACTGAAATGCAGCTGTAGCATCAAAACTCATGCATGTACAAGAAAATGGCTTTTAAGAACAAAATTTAAATTAAAAATAATGTTTGGATATGATTTTGTGCAAGATGATGATGGTGCATAAACCAACACACAGCTGGGAGAAATAAATTGGCACAGAAGCCAGTTTTGTTGTTGTAGAACAAAAATGAATCTAACTTTCCTTCAGGATTTTAATTTCAGGATGTTTTCATTCAGCAAGCCAGATAAAATGTTGGCTAATTATAGACAGCTAGCTGTTAAAACTACAGCACTATGCTACTGATATATGTAGAAATGAACTATATGACGTCACACATGACTATATTCTAGATAACTGAACTAGATAATATTCTGAGGCAGGATGCCCCTGGAGGTTTTCACCCACTTTCTGGGGGGGGGGGGGCTTCTTGCCCCAAAGTGTCTAACTTCATTTCTTTTATTTATTTATTTATTTTCTTTACTTCACTTTACATAAAAAGCGTTTGATGTCCAACATAGATTGCTATTTTCCAGTGACAAAAATAAACCAGTTCACCCTAAAATTGTTCTGGTGGGATAAATTTCAAGAATGCAGCAGTTCAGATTAGAAATATTCATGCACACACACCCCACCCTCCCTGATGCTCAAGAAGTGAATAAAATAAGGGAAAGAGAAAAAAAGAGAATAAATAGAAATAATAATAATAATAAATTTAACATATAAAAAAATACAATACAAACATTAAAGGGTAAGTTTTAAAAATCTAAAAAAAACTAGCTTTTGTGAAGGTGAAATAATAATAATAATAATAATAATAATAATAATAAAACAACAACAACAAAGTCACACCCAGGCCAGCCCACTCCTCTGACAAGTAATGAACAGTCCCTAAAAAGTAGAGAAAAAAATTGTTTCCAACATTAAACTGTGTTAAAATCACGTGTTGTTTACACAGGATACATAAACTGATTTTTCCTTTTTATTTTTAATGATACAGATTTTAAATTTGACTAATTTTGAAAAATAAAAAAAATAAAAATGATAAACTGGCAAAAAACTATTAGATTATTTTGACATTTCAGTTATTTTTTATTTTCCCTACATTTTATTAATTTGTTGTTCAATTGAATTTATTTTCATATTATTTTATCATCTTGTGATTTTTTTTTCTACAACTTTTATACTAAAAATTCTGGAACGTAAAAACTTTCTGTATTGAATGATTCAATGAAGTTTGTGGGGGAAAAACAAATAAAAATCAACCAATAAAATTAAGCTGTTGTCTGTGATAAAAAGTTACAAGTTAATGAGTTACACACGACTGGAAAAATAATAAAAACATGTCATAAATTATAAAATATAAAAAACAAAACAAATAAGAATAAAATAGAATATAAATAAAAAATAACCATTGTTCACTAAAGCTTCTACATCATCTCAAATACTTGATAAAAATAGGCTGAATAAATAAAAATAGCCCATAATTATAGGTTTTGTTATATTATATCATTTCCTACCAATATGCGAAATTAAAAAAATCGTGCTGCCTACAAACTGCCAAAATATTGTAGTCTCAATATTAATGTCTTAATTTAATTTATGTGCTTTATATAAATCAATACTAAAGCTCCTGCTCCAGAGCGACAGACCTCATATGTCAAACATGTATCAGACACAGAGGAAGGCAGGTTTGTGTCACACGTGCACACTTTGGTCTCCATGGTCACAGCTGCTCCTCTGCAGAGTGTGTATGAGGTCAAACAGGAACAGGAGGTGTGAACGCCCACTCTCACAAACAGAGTGCGGATCAACACACCGCGTGAGTCATCCTGTCCAACACACACCAGCTTTGATCTGTGGGGTGAAAGTGGCAGCGCGCCTCCTGCCGGCGGATCCGAGTCACTGCACACTGACGAGTTCAAAACACTCGAGTCAACTTCCTGTGTGTAATTACAGTGTCGTGATTAAAATGTGAGTCTGTGTTCATCCATGTTGTTGGAGTTTTACCTGCTCCAGCTTCATCAGAGAAGGGTCAGAGGGTCAGAGGTCAGGGGTCAGAGGTCTGGAGCTGGCGGGAGTTCTTCTTCTTCTTCTTCTTCTTCTTCAGCTCCAACCACAGGCATGTTAATTAGCAGTGAGGCATTTCAGCCCAAAGCAGAGGACAGTGAGTGAAAACTCAAAGCATCGGGTAAAACAAACAAACAAACAAACAAACAAACAAACAAACAAACAAACACAAACAAACAAACAAAAATGTATGAACAAGTTAAAATAACTTTTTACTTTCTTTGAGGGAAAAACCCTATTTGTTATTGTCCAGCTTGACAAAGAGTGAATAAGAATTCTTAAATTTAAAGACTGACGAAAGGTTGAGGCCAAATTAATCAAAAACATAAATACTTTCCTGAAACCAAACCATATTGTTCAACATTTTTAATGCCCATAAAGTCATTAAAAACATTATAAATACATATTAGACCACTTCATAGACATTAAAGGAGAGTATTCCTCATAGTAGGCTTTTTTTTTTTTACATAAAAAAAAAAGTATTTAAAAGTATAAAAAAAAAAAGTACCCGTGGCTGAAAATATAAAATAAATTGCATCTAGCCTTCTATGTACATGTGCCAACTTTTTTGTCACAATATTTCACAGATAAACAAAAAAAATAAATAAATAAAAAGAGAGAAAAAGACAGAATTAAATTTTTTTTAACAGAAACAAGTTTAACATGAGTAATAATAATAATAATAATAATAATAATAGTAATAATAATAATGATGGTATACATAAATAAATAAATAAAGTTAGCTTTTCTCATAGTTGTAAGATACTGACCTCATTAATTTGAAATTATTTCTTTTAATTCCAATAATATAATAACAATAACACTAATAATAATAATACTGGTAATGATTGATTTTGTTTAATTTCTCTGGTGCTGATAAAAACTATTCAGCTGTTGTCTTAAAGTATTTTTAAATTTAGTTGAGGCATTAAACTGTGTGAATGTTCTGTATTAACATTTCAGCAACACTGAAAATTTGGAGATAAATATTAACTTCCAATGTTCCAAACTTCTTTTTTCTTAAAATGTTTTTACTTATTTGTTTTATGGAAGAGTTAAACTTTTTTTTCTTCTTTTTTTTCTATTTTGTTAAAGAATAAATGACAATTATTAGTTTATTTATTATATTTTTTTTTTAAAAAAACATCTCCATTTTCACGAAGTTCATTTTGGTTGAGGAACATAAAAACATCAGGGAAATACACTGAACAAAAATATAAACGCAACACTTTTGTTTTTGCTCCCATTTTTCATGAGCTGAACTCAAAGATCTAAAACATTTTCTATACACACACAAGACCATTTCCCTCAAATATTGTTCACAAATCTGTCTAAATCTGTGTTAGTGAGCACTTCTCCTTTGCCGAGATAATCCATCCCACCTCACAGGTGTGGCATATCAAGATGCTCATTAGACAGCATGAATATTGCACAGGTGTGCCTTAGGCTGGCCACAATAAAAGGCCACTCTGAAATGTTCAGTTTTATCACACAGCACAATGCCACAGATGTCGCAAGTTTTGAGGGAGCGTGCAATTGGCATGCTGACTGCAGGAATGTCCACCAGAGCTGTTGCCCATGAATTGAATGTTCATTTCTCTACCATAAGCCGTCTCCAAAGGCGTTTCAGACAATTTGGCAGTACATCCAACCGGCCTCACAACCGCAGACCACGTGTAACCGCACCAGCCCAGGACCTCCACATCCAGCATGTTCACCTCCAAGATCGTCTGAGACCAGCCACCCGGACAGCTGCTGCAACAATCGGTTTGCATAACCAAAGAATTTCTGCACAAACTGTCAGAAACCGTCTCAGGGAAGCTCATCTGCATGCTCGTCGTCCTCATCAGGGTCTCGACCTGACTGCAGTTGGTCGTCCTAACCGACTTGAGTGGGCAAATGCTCACATTCGATGGCGTCTGGCACGTTGGAGAGGTGTTCTCTTCATGGATGAATCCCGGTTTTCACTGTTCAGGGCAGATGGCAGACAGCGTGTGTGGTGTCGTGTGGGTGAGCGGTTTGCTGATTTCAACGCTGTGGATCGAGTGGCCCATGGTGGTGGTGGGGTTATGGTACAGGCAGGCGTATGTTATGGACAACGAACACAGGTGCATTTTATTGATGGTATTTTGAATGCACAGAGATACCGTGACGAGATCCTGAGGCCCATTGTTGTGCCATTCGTCCACGACCATCACCTCATGTTGCAGCATGATAATGCACGGCCCCATGTTGCAAGGATCTGTACACAATTCCTGGAAGCTGAGAACATCCCAGTTCTTGCATGGCCAGCATACTCACCGGACATGTCATCCATTGAGCATGTTTTGGATGATCTGGATCGGCGTATACGACAGCGTGTTCCAGTTCCTGCCAATATCCAGCAACTTTGCACAGCCATTGAAGAGGAGTGGACCCAGACCCCCCCAATAAAGCAAAACTGCACATTTCAGAGTGGCCTTTTTATTGTGGCCAGCCTAAGGCACACCTGTGCAATATTCATGCTGTCTAATCAGCATCTTGATATGCCACACCTGTGAGGTGGGATGGATTATCTCGGCAAAGGAGAAGTGCTCACTAACACAGATAGACAGACAGATTTGTGAACAATATTTGTGAGAAATGGTCTTTTGTGTGTATAGAAAATGTTTTAGATCTTTGAGTTCAGCTCATGAAAAATGGGAGCAAAAACAAAAGTGTTGCGTTTATATTTTTGTTCAGTGTATTTGTATATATAATTATTTTTTGTATTTATATTTACTACTTATAATTAAAAAATATAATAATTATTATAATAATAATTAAAAAATATAAACTGTGCCTTTTGCTAAAAATATAAAAGAAACTGGTTTTCCATGACCTGTGAGACAATAACAGTTTTAAGAAATACTACTACTACTACCAATAATAATAATAATAATAATAATAATAATAATAATAATAATAATTGTAAACAAGCAGTCAAGATTTGATTTCATTAACTATTAAACTGTTTTCTTGAGGTATTTTTACACTTGAAGAAATGACTACATAGTTATGTGAATATTCTGTAACAGCATTTCAGCCATTTTGAAAATTTGGAGATAATGTTGATATTGATATTTAAAAAAACAACAGAAACTAAACTAAAAAGCAAATTATACTTCTTACTTTTATAATCTTGATGCAACTTTTACAGTTATTGTTTTTTAAGGAAGAGTCAAACTTCTTTCACCCATTTTCTATTTTTTGTTAAATGTATGAATTCATGACAGAAGAATTACTAGATTATTTACTCACTTTTCTAAGAACATCTCCACTTTTTTCATACTAATGTTTTATAATTTCATTTAAGTTGTGGAAAATAACTAAAATTAAGACATTTTTGGTGAATAATTTGTCAGAAATGTTCATATTAAAGCAACAAATGAAGAATCTGAGTCACTTTGTGATCTGAAAAACTATTTTATGTTGAATTCTTTCACACATCATCATCATCATCATCACAATACAAAATATGACACATATTTCACACATTCAACACGAGGATTAAAATGCTGCAGTCGTTAAAATGACTTTGGATCAAAGACTTTGGTGTTTTAATTACAAAAATACATTTCTGTTGTCTAAAACTCTTCGCTGACATCACGTCAGCATCATCTTGATGATTTCTGCACAACATTTATGATCTTTCTCTGCTCATTAAACCGAATGAAGTTAAAGTAAATCAAAGCTGATCTTGAATAGGAGATACGAGGTTTCCAGGCAGCAGTGTGGTAAATTCCCTCTGACCGAACAACAACAAGCGTCTCATTGTCCAGCTCAGCGTTTCTCTGCAGCCACGGCAAAATAAAAGACTTGTTTTCTATTGAAGTGAAAGGAGGAAAATTTCCCGCTGAACACAAAGACAAAGAGTTGATTTGTTTCTGTCTCGTCACAGAAGAAGAAGAAGAGAAATGACAGATTCAAACTGTCGGCAGATCTGCCAGGAAACATTTCACAGATACAAACTCAACAGTTTCATCCAGTCACAGATATTTGGTTGTTTGTGGAGATAAAATATGACCTCTGTGATGATGTGACAAGTTGGAGACGGACACTAATGAGCTGCTCGTATCCCACAATGCCCCTGTGCATGAAGGACTCACATCTGATCTGATAGTTCAGGATTCAGGCTGGGGTCAGGGGTCAGTACAGGAGAAAAACTAAAGCTAAAATAAGTTACGTAAACTTATTTAAAACTATCTAAGGAGAGACACCTCAGGTGATCAGGGTACTTACTTTAAATTACAAGTTTCCATCGACAGTGCGTCTAACTTCGCTGATCTGCTCCAGTGATATTTTATCTTTATTTTATTTTTATTGTTCTTTGTGTATCTTGAAACACGTTTTCATATAGTTTTGCTGTTGTTAAATGTGGTCCCCAATCAATCAATATGTTTACCATGTAGACATGCAAGAACAATATCCTCACTGTGACCTCGTCACATGTCCACGTTAGGTCATGGACTTTCCACGTCCACATATGACGCCCAAGGTACCCTGGGTGTGTTGGTTGTTGACGTTCTGGGACGCCGTGTCAACTTCAGCCTGTTACATGCATTGTCTGTTTTCAAAATACACTTCTGTTTTCACAGGAAATGTACAGTTTGCATACAGTCTCTTTCAAAATAAAAGCACTCTGTCCGTTCAACAACGCAAACAACAAACACGTGGTTGGGTTTAGGAAAAAAGAACAGGGTTTGGCTTTAGAATCTTACAGGACACAAACACCACTCTCTCAGGTGAAAGTCCATGTTTGTTGGACCCGTCCAGCACCACTCCCACCCGCCCTAGTTGGACTTTTGCCTCCTTAACTTTCATTCTTGTCCCACTGTTTCCCCCTAACACTGCAGAGTTCCATTAAACTATATGACTGGTTGTGTATCATGCCAATGTTAAAGGACGACTTTTTTCGCCAGTGTCTGATGCTGCAAGTCACAGCCCAAGCACCAGATTTCATCAACTTTGAAGTGAGACTGGGTTGGTGAGAAAAACTTAAAGCCACACAGCGTGACTGACTGAATTACAAATAGTCATATTGTGGGTGAAGAATTCCTTTAAAGCACCAAAAGTAAAAGTACTCATTATGCAGAATGACTCACTTTAGAATAATAAACATTAATCTAATTGTTTTATAGACTGCTGGGTACTTTAATCTGTAGTTATACATTATTATTTATTAGAGATAATACTTGAATTATTCATCTGAAGCTGCAAAGTAACTAAAGTACAAAGTAGCAGAACTTACATTAAGTGCAAGTACCTCAAAACTTGAGTAAATGCACTGAGTAACTTTCCACCACTGAGCATGACACTGTTTGATACTGAAATCACAGATTCTAGGTGGCAATTTACTTTAATTTATGTCGTCATGGAGCGCCAGATGAAGTCTACATTACTGAAGGCCTTTACACACACTGAGAGCGACACATGGATGACACAAAATGCAAAATACTCGCTCACATCAAAACTATTGATACCAGCAGCGATGCAAACTTGCAACAGGTCAGCCACTGTGGTGACATAACGTAGTGGCGTCACGTTTGTTACAAACAACGTGATTGGTTAATGTCTTTCTTGCAGAACAATATAGCTAAAAAAATATAGACCTGTCTCTGAAAAAATGACACCCCTTTTTCACTGGGTGATATTATCAATCTGTGAAAAGGTACACAATATAAATGATAGTTTGAGAAAATGTATTGACATGCAAATAGACCCTTTTACTATTGGTAAACAGTGTGATGTTTTTGGTGGGCGGGGCTTAGCTGGAGGCAAAACAGTTATCCACAGACGTTAGCTAGCAACTTCTGTTAGCTTGTTTTAGACGATGGAGGAAGATGATGTGAGTGGTGCGTTCAGAAACACTCATTGTGAGTGTGGGAGCGCACTCTGACACAAACTGGAGCGTTGATAAATTGGGAGCGCTGTCTGAATGTAGCGTTGGGTTATCCAGAGCAGCGCACTCTCAGAGTGGCAGAGCGCACTCTGGACACTCTGTCTGTGGAGACGGAGCAGCAGAGCGCCGAGCGGAGTGAATGTGTGATTAACTTAACCGTTGGTTCATTCATGTAGAAATATAACGCTGCGTTTCTTCCACCAACAGGGCTCTCATTTTAGTGTAGAGCGTCAGACTGAATTTACCAACGCACCATGTCAGGTCACGTCTATAAATGGCATGAAAAAACCATGCGCGAGCGCCTGCACGTGTTTGATTTCTACAACACGTTTTCATTATTTCACTCGATGTTAAAGACCTTGAAAAGATGGATGCCTGATTCTGACCTGTTTTCATGATGAACACTGTCACATGGCAGCAGATGAGGCGCTGGCAGTCAAACGTGTAAACTCCTTTTATGACTTTCTGACATTTTTGCTGGATGTCTGTTTCCATGGTTACATTTTAATGAAGAGCACGGCAGTGACGACAGCGAAGCCCACCAGCAGCATGGCCACCTTGGGGATGCGGTTCTTGCCGGAGCTGAGCTCGTGCGGCAGGATCTCCATGAAGGTGATGTAGATGAAGGTTCCGGCTGCCAGCCCCTCCAGCGTGCAGCGAGCCAGCTGGTGCTGTGGGGACGCCTTGGTCTCGGTGAGGGCGATGCCCGCACCGATGCCCAGCGGGGACATGACGGCGAACAGCAGCAGGCAGCCGGCCACCACCGACCGCCGCAGCCGTCCCTGACTCAGCTTAAAGGCCAGGCTGAAGGAAATGATGCTCTTGTGGATCATCAGCGCCAGGCAGATCTCCAGCACCTCCTTCCCCTCCTCCAGCAGCCCCACCGCCAAACCCTCAAACACTGAGTGCAGAGACAGCGAGAAGACCAGGATGAAGGCGCGCAGGGCAGACTGGGAGCCAAAGTCCACGTGGAAGTGACCGCCGTCGGACTCGTCTGAGCCATGGCGGCGGTGGGAGTGGTGACGACTGTTCCTGTCATTCGCCTGGACGGTGGAATCCACCAGCAGAGCCCGGCGCTCCTCTGAGTGAGACGACGATTGGTCTTTGAAGGCCAGGACGATCTGCTCCAGGACCAGGACCAGGAAGAAGCCCATGGCCATGATGAACTCAGGCAGAGGGAACTGGAGCTGCGAGGAGAGAAGAAGAACATGGTGTCGTGCAGCTGAACCACAAACTGTCGGTCTGCATCTGTCTCAGTCAAATACATTTCAAAACCTCAACCAAGACTCAGATCAGAATAAAGGCCACGTTTTATCTGTGGAAAACAACATCGACTGTTCCAAGACAGACGTTCTATAACCTTCAGCAGTACAGTTCGTGACTCCAAATGACTTAAAGAAAAAGCTTCTACAAAACTTCACTACCCAGAAGTCTTGAGCAGTGATGTCAGTAAAACAATCTGTGATGCTTTATCAGACGAGATGTGATGCTCAAGTCTGCTGAATAAAAAGCAGCTGGAACAACTTAAAACAGCTGTTTTTTGGACGTGGATTTGTATGACAGTAATTGCTTAAGTTGAACCACATGCCAGAACTTTATTTGGACTTTAAAGGGAAATTTCGGTTTATTTCAACCTGTCTCCTATCGTCCTAAATTTGTTTCAAGTGACTAGTGACATAAAAATAATAGTTAGCATGTTAGCCGTTAGCCTAGATACAGCCGGGGCGCATAGTAGCGTCAGACCTGTTAAAACGTAAGTGAACGGGCAACCTTCAAGTGCAAAGTTAGTCCACTAAACAAGCTTTTTTTCCACAAAGACCGCCTCATATCATTAGGATAAATGTCAGAGAACATATAGAAAACGACATGTACATGTGTTGTCTTACCTTACCGGTGTGCTGCCATGTTTGTTTACCATCTAGCTCTGCTTTCCAAAGCGCAGCCGAAATATATCTGGCGAGCTCTAGATAAAGCCCAGCTGGATGCTACTCCAGGTGGAGGTGTCTCGTCCTCAGTCACATCCAGACCTTGAAAATAAGGCTGCAACCGGTCCCATTCCTTGCAACAGAGGCATTCCTCTTCTGTGGGCACTGGGGCACAGCATTCACAGGTACACCACCAATCTCCAGAGCTACGCAGCCTTGCAGCAGCCATTCCTCCTCTCTCATCCTCTACCTGTTGCGCCTCTCTCTCTCTCTCCTCCGTTCTTCTATTTCACGAAGCTCTTCGTCAGTGTGTTCTGGCTCAAATAAATAAGGGTGGCCATCAAACTCTGCAAAATCAAATTCCTCCTCCACAAAGTCGAAGTCTGGCAAAAAGTCAGCCATTATTCTATAAATCTTTCATAAAATAAATGAATGAACTTTTCAGGCTACTGTCCGGTTCTGCCTTCCAGCTGTTGCTGCTTGTTCTCGCGAGATTTCAGGCATGCTTTGGAAAGCAGAGCTAGATGGTAAACAAACATGGCAGCACACCGGTAAGGTAAGACAACACGTTTACATGTCGTTTTCTATATGTTCTCTGACATTTATCCTAACGATATGAGGCGGTCTTTGTGGATAAAAAGCTTGTTTAGTGGACTAACTTTGCACTTGAAGGTTGCCCGTTCACTTACGTTTTAACAGGTCTGACGCTACTATGCGCCCCGGCTGTATCTAGGCTAACGGCTAACATGCTAACTATTATTTTTATGTCACTAGTCACTTGAAACAAATTTAGGACGATAGGAGACAGGTTGAATAAACCGAAATTTGCCTTTAAGGAAAAATTTGGTACGACTCACATGTCTGTACACTCAGCATGAAGCTAACTTAGCTTAGCATAAAGTTTGGTAACAGAGGGAAACCACACTACCTGCTGCACCGTCTTTATTCATGTATATTTGCGCCCCTGCTGCATCACACACTGTGGTTTTATGATTTTCCGACTTGTAGTGTGTGAAGTTGCAAATAAGGATCTGCTGTCAGTATCTCTGACATCACAGGATGACAAACTGCTGCAGAGTGAAAACCAGCGGATGTGGAGGAGTTTCAGATGAGAAGATAAAGACAAAAACAGAAACCTCAGTTAACTTGTGTTAACTTCACGGGCAGAGGACAGAAGGAACTCAGAGATCAAACTAAACAGGGTAAACACTTCAAAAAGTATCAGTTTATTATTATTTAGTCCTGGCTTCCTCCCACAGTCCAAAGACATGCAGGTTAATTGGTGACTCTAAATTGTCCGTAGGTGTGAATGTGAGTGTGAATGGTTGTCTGTCTCTATGTGTCAGTCCTGTGATAGTCTGGTGACCTGTCCAGGGTGAACCCTGCCTCTCACCCAGTGTCAGCTGGGATAGGCTCCACCCCCCCACGACCCCTAACAGGATAAGAAATGAATTAATGAATGAATGAATGAATGTTGCTGATTTATTTTAGGCCAGAACATGATCCTTGCCAAACCATAACCAAGTGTAACCACACATTAACCACAGCCTTGTTGAGACACAAAGTTTCTATGTGTCTACTACATCGTAAAGTTTAGCATTTATACGTGAATGTTTCTGACCTGATATATTTCAAATCCACATTAAAAAAAAACTCAGTAAATTCTGTTGTTGTTTCAAATCAAAAGCACTTTAACGCCTGACGAGCTGAATTTATAACCTCCAGGAAAATGACAAGCGCTGGAAGGCACCATGAAAACACATCAAACACTGTGTGGTGTGAGACAGGAAGTATGGGAAGAGAAAGGAGAATGAGGTCACACACACACACACACACACACACACACACACACACACACACACACACACACACACACACAGTCGCAGTATTTAACTTTTGCCCGTCGAAGCAGCTGGAGGTTAATTCAGAGCTATTTGTGAGGGAGGAGAGCGATTCCCGTTAAACTCCCCCCTCCCTCTCACACACACGCACACACACACCGGGTTTCCCAGCAGTGTCTTTTTTAGCATCGACCTTCAGCCGCCCTCCTCCTAAATATCAGACATTTTGAAGCAGTTCAAATTCAGTTTTTCACTGACGGATCGCCGTGACCTTTGTTACAGGAAGTGACAACACTCAGAGGATGAATCGGAATGAATTTGAGGTGATCCTTTGACTTCTCTGAGACCATCATCAGGCCGACATTTCAAATTGTAAATCTGATTAAGGTTATTAACTGAACAAGGGAGCAGAACAATCATGTTACTGCTCCATTAAATATAGTCTCACGCTCACTCTTCTCTTAGCTCTGCTGTTTTGTGAATTCCTGGATAATTTAACTGAAAGCTACAGTTGGTAACTCCTGTGAAAATAACTGTGTCATATTTGCTGAAACTGTCACTGTAGTCTACTTAAATCTGGAGTTATTAAAATAAAACAAGGAAAAAAAACACCTTCTGGTTGAAGTGGTCAGAGCCAGTGGACACACAGAAATAGTCATTGCTTTATTTTTAGGATCCATGAGCTAAAAGAAGTGAGGAAACAGTGACTGAGACGTCTGAGTCAAGGTGCTCGACTTCCTTCTCTGAGCTTGGTTCTTTAAAACAAAGACCAAACTCCAAGTCGACATGTTGAAGTAAATGAAACAAAAGGACTTTTTCACAAAGACACATTATTTCCAGAAGGATTATTTGTCCTGTTGAACTTTAACGAGAGACTGTGTCACTTTTAAAAGAAGAAATAAGATAATAACTCTTGGAGCTGAATTCATAAGAAATAAAATATAAATTCAGCTTTAAGGTGCCTAATGTCATCAGCAACATGCAGAGAGTCTTTATGACTTCACCACACAGGAGTTTCTTCTGTTTCACTGAACGAATAAAGATTTGAGTCTTGATGAAGCAGAAGTTTCCTTTGCTGCAGACTCTGTGACTCCATCAGCTCAGCGTCAGGTCACTTTATGCCACGTGTTCATGATGTTATGTGTGGACTTGTGGGATCTTACTGTGACTCCAGCGTTGCTGAAGGCCTCATTGATGCCCTGCAGGTAGTCTGGCAGCAGGTCCAGCAGACAGGTGGCCAAGAACACTCCTCCAGCAAAACAGCTGATCAGGCTGAGCAGCCTGCGCCGCAAATCTGAAGACAACAAGACACAAGGTGTTTCTCAATACCAAGTATGCAAAGTTTGGACTTGCGCACTTGGGAGTTTGGACTTGGCAAGTTTGACTCGATACCTGGCTGTCAAAAGTCCACAGAAGTCACCTCCCGATGCATCCCCGATGGAACGGGCAGAGCAAGTTCACATCCGGGCATTTGGACCGTACTTGGCTGGATGCAGACTTTGAATTGGAACAGTACTTGGGCTGCGACTCATGACGTTTCACAAGTCCGCAAGAACACAAGTACAGGCAAGAACGCAGATTGAGAAACGCCTACAGACTGTAGCAGCGACGATGGAATGTAACTACATACATTTACTCAAGCACAACTGCAAGGTCCTCGAGTATTTCAATTTGATGCTACTTTATGCATTTCAGAGGTGAATATTGGACTCTGACTGATGAGTTTTTCGTCCAGTGGAAACCAAGTCATCGTCACAAAGCAGAAAACAGGCACGTGGTTCTCACAGGACAGCCACACTACAAACATCTGATGATCTTATAGACCATGATGCATTGCTGTAGATTAAACTACCAAACTGACTTAAAAGGAGCACAACTTTACATATCTACAGCAGGAAAATGACACATTAATGCAGGAATATGAATCCAGAAACATCAGATAGCAAAACACTGACAGCATAAAACAGTTTCCTGCAACATACAAACTTTTACTTTCACTACTTTTAGAAAATTTAGCTGAAAATACTTTGAATGCAGTTGCAGAGTATCGGAGATATCAGCCGTAGAGATGTGTGGCCTCTCTTCAGTATGATGAGACTAGATGACACTCAAAAACGCCAAAAAACTACATCCGAAAAACTCAGCAGCAATGTCTCTTTCCAGGGATCATGACCTGGTTACTCAAGATAATCCACAGAGCATGTTGTGAGCAGTTTCATGTAGAAACTATTTACTTTCTACTGAACAACACCCACCATCCATATCACCTCACAGAAGGAAGCATATTCAGTAACACGTTTCAGTTTATATTGTTGGACAAGACGAGTCTCTACTGAACATGTGAGAAGACTCAAGTCCTCTAGTCTTCCGTGCCGTCTCTGCTCAGTCGGATTGTTGTAGAGAAGTGAGGTTCTCCCATGACGGGTGAAGACAGGCAGTGTTGAAGGACGGGGTCGTCTTATCTACAGCCTCTTCATATTCCTCTTTTTCCTGCCTGTGCGGCTTCTGTGAGCTGTCACCTGTCACATATCTTCCTTCTTGTGGAGGACTGTGGCTCAGAGAAGCCACAAAAGGATATTAAATCTCTCCCTGGAACACTGGAGACTCTGGCACAATGGTTATTGGAACACCCAGAAAGTCTGTGGATCATCTTGAGTAACATGGTCATGGTTTCTGGAAAGAGACACTGCTGTTGAATTTTTATTTTATATATTTTTTTGGTGCTTTGAACACCACAAGCGAAGAGAAGGCAGACGTCTCTACAGCCACACCGTCCCTTCAAATTAAGAATCTGAACACGTCCTCCACCACTGAGTTGTAGATCTACAGCTGATGACATCATCCAGACGTGGTCCTGGTTTCTCACCTGAATCCACACTGCAGCGTCCCGCTCCTCGGACGATGCAGAGCGGGGCGAATCCAAACAGGACTGTGACGGACAGCAGGACCACCAGTGCTCCCAGTTTGATCTCCAGGGCGGGGACGTCGGCAGGGTTGACCTGCAGCGCTGCCTTCTCCCGTCCTGGAGACAGGAGGGCGGAGGAGGAGAAGACTCTCCCCTTGATCAGCATCTTTAATCTGGTTTATCTTCACCTCCTCTGTCAGTTTGGAGTCAGGCAGCGAGGAGGAGGAGCTCAAACACCCGCCATGGAGTCACACAGGAGAGTCTGTCAGACACATGAAACAACATACAGTTAAATCTGTTGCAATTAGTTTCATCTGTTACCTGGATTCTTTGACCTTTGACCTCTTTGACGGAGGCCTTTCCTTTAGTACAAACATTCATGGTTCCCAGAGGTTATTACTTCGTTGAGTTTTATCTGGCGCCACCAAGTGGTCAAACGCATTAATTCATGTTTAATGTGTTGTGACTGTGTGTGTGTGTGTTAAAGGTCACTGTTCACTGGAAGCTAGACGAGATCAGGCGGCTGCAGCAGGAGGCGCTGACAAAAAGCTGTCAGACAGTTTCCTGACAGTTTCCAGCAGCCTTCAGTCCGACAGGAAGTCACAGATACACTCACATCCTGTCTCATATGATGTCGATTTATTGTCAGACTCATATATCAGTTTGTTCTCAGTCTCCAGTTGTTTTAATTATGATAGATTAATTTATTAAAATGCTTTACAATCAATCAATCAATCAATTTTATTTATAAAGCCCAATATCATTTATGTTCGTTTATGTTCATGGTTTATCCTCCAGTTTACATGAACTCTCCTGTAAATCAGCATCACATCAGTTTGACCTGTCCCCTCAACTACACAGGCTGAAGACACTGTGTCTGACTATAAGGTTAATATTTTATACAAGACAACAGCTTTCATTAAGGCTCAGTCAGATACAGTCAGGACTTCACATCTGTACACATGTTATTATAAGAGTCCTCACATCCCACTGACAACCAGTCTCTGTTTAGCATCACAGAGACTGGTTGTCACATCCCACTGACAACCAGTCTCTGTGATGCTAAACACTTCAATAATTTAAACAGTCTAATGTTAATACACAGTAGATGCTGTATAGTTTATGATGAATGTCTTCACCAAACTTCACCATCAGTCACACAACATGTTCTCTGTTACAGAATAAAACTTCAGATCAGACAAATCAAATGTAAATCTCTGAAATTCAACAAAAATTAAAAGTTTATCTAAAACATCATCTTGTTGAGTCAACATCTAAACCAATCAGGTGTTAGATCAGGTGTTTCCCATCATGCCCTGGGTCTTGCAGTCGGTGAAGAACTAATACAGCGCCTGGCCCTAAAAACTGCTGCTGCCAGATTATCACTGTCCATTTTTGGAATACGTCAGAGTCGGACACAAAACTAACCGGCATGCTCTGAGGGCCGATCACCAGTGATCGAATCTGCGCAGGCCTGGCTCATCTCCAACGAGCCTATTAATAAAGTCCCAATGTCCTCAGATGAGTACTTCCTAATTAACAGCATTTTTGCTCGTTGCTGTTGCTAACATTGGTCAAAGCTGTTGCCATATAAAACTACAAGTTATTTAGCACAAATTAAAGTGTGCAAAAATGAGGACAATGGGTCTAAATTAAGCAGACTGAAGTATAAGGTGCAAGAAATCCAAAATGTGATGACCTAATGTGAGGACGCAGGGTCTCAGGAAGATATGTGATATCCTACTATAATCCTATTCTATCCCATGACCTCATACTTGTCTGTTTTCTTTAATAACTAATTTATGGTGGAGGGAGGGTCATGCATTTTCCCCCCCAGTGACTCAGGGAGGCTCAGGGGAAATATTTGTAGCTTCAGGGAGGGTCACAAAACAACAACAACAACAACAACAACAACAAACAGTGACACCTGAGCCACATCCCTCCTCTGATAAATAAAGAACAGTCCCTAAAGCTGTCATAAATGTCATGCTGTAATAAATAAACTCCTTAAAAGAATCCACTGGTTCAAGTTAAAAAAATTGAGGTACGTTTTCCCAACTCTGATCTTATCGAGTAACGTCCACGAGTCTTTTATAATCTCACAAACTCAATTACTTAAGTACAACCAACATGATTTGCTTTGACGAGAAAAAAAACTTAAGTTGAATGAACTTAATATTCATCCAAAAGTTGTGTTGATATTAAAACTATTTTATTTAAGATATTAAAATGTATTTATTTTAATTCCATCCTACTGAAAAAAGTCAAAAAAGTTTCTGACCAACTTCTTAAAAAAAGCTGTCAACTGAATAAAACACGTCAATGAAACAAACTTTCTTTAAATTAAGTAAAACTGAAAAACATCTTTATTTTAAGTGTGCTCCACTCACCCCATGAATCAATATTTCCCTCTGCAGGGGAGGAGGAGGAAGTAGCATTAATAGGACACAACCTACTCAAGTAAAGTACCTTGAAACTGATTTTAATAATACTCGAGTAAATGTAGATTACACCGCTGCACAGATGGCACCATTTCTACAGAGATACATCTGCCTTCAGAAAACCTTCCTGGAGACGAAAACACAAATCCAAAGCTGCAGTTTAAACCCTGATCTGTGTTTTTACACAGCCTGTAAAATAAAATATCTTCAGTTACATGATGATGATGATGATGATGATGATGATGATGACTCGGACAGAGCAGAGAAATGTTTGGGTTTTATTTTTAAACCTCTGACTGGATTGTCCCAGTTGTGTGTGAACTGAACCCTCAGCTGTCTCTCTGTCTGACAGCAGGTCAACACATGTATGATCACTAACATGTAAAACACACCTGAGACAGTGACCAGCGAGCTGCTGCTGCTGCTGCTGCTGCTGCTGCTGAGGTCATGAACACTGAGAGAACACACGCCACATGTGATCCTATAAACCTGGAAACTTTGATCAAACTTCTCACATGTCGGTGTTTTTAGTTTCCTCTCGTACCTGAGTCCGGATCCAGCAGCTCACACTGGTCTTCCTCCTCTTCCTCCTCTTCCTCCTCAGTAGAAACAGATTCTATTGAAGTCAGAAGAATAAAAGAATCCTCTCTGGTGTTTCTTCGCAGCTCGGTGCGGTTACATTTTGTCCGGGAAGTGGTGAGTCAGTTCATCAGCTGATCCTGTTTTATGTTGGAGCTGCTGTCACGGTCACCACGACAACTCACCACATCCTGTTTTCAAAATAAAAGCTGCTTTTGGTCACGTTTGTAAATGAAACCAAGCCCGTTAATATCTATATTATCTATACACTGGGTCAAATATATCTTATACTGGTTTAACTGATCACTTAATAAAGATGAAAAATAATATAATGCACTCTCTGGTTTGATTTTTGACCCAGCAAAAATTTAAATATGACATTATTTTATAACCACCAGAGTTGTGAAAGTTATTTTTTTAATTTTTTTAGCTGGGTGGTAAATAGACCAGGGATAGTTGAATATTAGTTGTAAATATATTTGGGAATTTGTTGAAGAAGAAATGTAAGAAAGAGATAGGGACACATACGTTTTACCTCCACCAATCTTTTTCGGACACTGTTATCTTTATTTTTGATTTGAAATTAAGTCATTCATTCATTAAAAAAGAAATGTAATATGTTACAGGTTACTAGTTACCCTGTGAAGAATACAATACAACTTTTTTAAATACTTTGTTAAAATAAACAAAATCAAATGTAACTGAATACTTGTTGATTACTTTACTAACAAATGTTTTAAACTGAGCAATAAAGCCAAAAAGTCCGAGAAAAAAACAAGTGCATAAATGTTGCACTGAAATTTGTCCCAGCAGATTTGTTCAGCGGAACATGTGCAAAACTTGTTAACTTATTAATGAAAGAAAAATGCAGAGCACCAGAATAAATGCTATAGATTTTTATATATCAAATAATTTGACCTCTTATGTGTCTCTTAAATGCTTCAAATGCAACAATGAGTTGAAACTGGGGAGTTGGGACACACTACTTTTTAAGATTTAAATAAAAATGTTTCTGTGCTTTTACTTTGACAGTAGAATGTCACGCTTCCAGTTGTCTCCTGTGTAACTTCACACGGCTGCAGCTGGGAGGAGGATCCATCCAGCTGCTGATCCCGGAGCTGAACACAGATCCTGGAACAGCCCATGTGACTGACAGTCTTCATCACTGATTAATCACCAGCAGTCAGAGGTCAAAGTTATGTTTATTGTCGAGCCTGTAGAACTGACTGTACTTTCAATGTTTTGGATTCAAGGTTACGACAGTGAACAAAAACACCTGTCAGAATAAACCCAGACTGATTTTAAATATATTGTATATGCACGCTCTGCAGGACACAAAATGTCTTTAGACACAGAACAATTGTATTTGTTAGAACATGAAGTTGAAACAATCATTCAAACACCAGTAAAAGTATCTGATGATGCAGATTATCTTTTATGGGGAAGTGAAGCTGTGAAAATCTGCTCAGGTGTCAGAAGCCAAAGATCAAACATAATGCATACAGTCTGTCTGCAGCAGTGTTATTGACCAATGCGCTAATTGTTTCTGATTCACCTCTGAGTGCAGATTTTTACAGAAAACCAACAATTAAATGATGTGATTCCTTATTTAAATGCTGGAAACTCTGTGAGACCTTCTGGGGTTCTTACCCCTTAAAGAATATCCATAGATCGTGGAAAGCCCTGGAAATTTACCAAAAACTGCTGAACATCCCTTAAAAGAATACGCCGCCAATTTGGGAGTTATGCCCTTTCTCTATCATTTTCATATTTAGACAACATGACACATCATGATCTTTTTTGTGTCTGTACGTCCAGTGGTTGGGTCTCAGCAGTTAACATTGCGGCTGAGCTTAGCGAATACAACTGAAGTCTATAGGGGGTCAGTAGCCTACTCGTAAAAGTGAACAAATAAACGTTACAGAAACCCTGAACAAACCATTTTGCTGCACAGAATGGGATTTGGTGCTACCATCGCTGGGGAGGCTAGAGATATATCATCATCATCAGGAGGAAACCCGCCGCAGAGAGTGCATCACAAGGAGTGAAAACTTTGCAGCAATCACTAATCCTGGCGTGATTGACGCCCCAGGCCTGCAGGAGCTGATGGACAGCTTTCAGTCGAGTGAGTAATATCCTCCATGTCATCTCTTTGTTTGCTTTTACCGAGTGACCTAGCGTACCTGTCCCAGAGCCAGCTGCAGCTGTTGCTCACCGGTGTATCCCTCCGTGCAGGACGTAAACACACTATAGTTCCGTGTATCAGACTTCGAATTAATGATTAAACATGTTTATTTTAAATGCACGTGCAAAAATGCCAGCTTCAGGGTTTCTGTAACGTTTATTTGTTCACTTTTACTGTAGGCTACTGACCCCCTATAGACTTCAATTGTATTCGCTAAGCTAAGCCACAATGCTAACCGCTGAGACCCAGCCACTGGACGTACAGACCCAAAAAAGATATTGATCATGTTGTCTCACTATTAAAATGATAGAGAAAGGGCATAACTCCCAAATCGTCGGAGTATTCCTTTAAACAGAATACTTCTAAGTGAATCAATGCTGCAGCTATGGCATGAACACATTCAACATCTGGTCAAGGACTTCCTTGCAAGGTAGGATTTATGTGGGCTCTCGAGGGTTCTTGGAGGTCTTTAGCAGGTCCTTTGGTGAACCTTGATGAGGCTGCAGGTGGTCTTGAGAGGTCTTTGAGGGAATTCTGGGGTTCTTGATGGTGTTTCAATGGTCCTAAGCAACTTTTAGGGATTCATGGTAGGCGTCTGGGGTTCCTGAGAAAGGTGTCAGGGTCCTTTGAATGACTGAGGCTTCTTGAGAGGTACTGAGGCAACACATTCTCACTCCGACCTCATCATATATCGACGTTTGGTCATGGACTTTCCACGTCCACATATGACGTCCAAGGTACCCTGGGTGTGTTGGTTGTTGACGTTCTGGGACGCTGTGTCAACTTCAGCCTGTTACATGCATTGTCTGCTTTCAAAATACACTTCTGTTTTCACAGGAAATGTACAGTTTGCATACAGTCTCTTTCAAAATAAAAGCACTACATCGGTATAACACCATTAATAGACATTTGTATTCCTTCAACAACACACACATGTGGGCATGTTTTGCAAACACATGCATGTGGTTGGGTTTAGGAAAACAGAACATGGTTTGGCTTTACAATCAAAAACAAACACTGGCCTCCCGGGCAAAAGTCAGTGGTTGCTGGATTTTAACCACACATCACGGCGACGTGTATTTCTGGAGGCTGAAACCATTTCCCTCGGTGAAAACAAGGTTTTTATTTACTTTTATTTCACAGATAAGAAATAATAAATGAGAAGACAATAAAGTCTCCACAAAGCAACATTTAGGTCCTGTGTGTATTTATCCTGGCTTCATATGAGCAGAGGAAAAACCCCGCTAGCTGCTAGGCTAATTTATCCAATGTAAAATGTCATAGGCTTGTGCTAATAATGTTAGCATGTTGTATATGTGGAGAAAACAAGTCCAAGACAAGTGTTTGATCTGTGAGTCTTGGGAGTAACAAGTGAACCGATTTGTGTACTCTTGTTTGAGTTGTCACAGTTACGTCATGTTTAATGTGTGTTTGTTAGCAACACTCAACAGGTGCCACGACTGTACAGGGGCTTTGTAGTTGACGTCTTCTGTAACAGTGGATGAAACATGCTGATAGTGTGTGTGTATATTTTTTTTTTACCGGACTGACACATTTTATCCTCTGCATGTGACATATCTGCCTGTGAGAGGACTCTGCTCTTATGTAGGTTTCATTGCATGTCTGGAAGATCATGTGAGATCGTAAACTGCAAACCTTATCTTCCAGACATGCAATGAAACCTACATAAGAGCAGAGTCCTCTCACAGGCAGATATGTCACATGCAGAGGATAAAATGTGTCAGTCCGGTGAAAAAAAATATACCCCTGATATTCATGATTGAGTTTTTCCTTCTTCTTCTCCTTTTTTCCCCCAAATATCAGCTTTACCACCATAAGCCAATGTCATTTATGTGAATTTGGCAGTACATCCAGCAGGCCTCACAATCACAGACCACACCAGCTCAGGACCTCCACATCCAGGATCATCTGACACCAGCCACCTGAACAGCTGATGCAACAAATGGTTTGCAGACCAACAGAATTTTTGTACAAACCGTCAGAAACTGTCTCGTAGAAACTCATCTGCATACTAATCGTCCTCACCAGGGTCTTGACGTGACAGCAGTTTCTCATCGTAACCAACTTGTGCGGGTGTGAGTGAAAAACCTGTGAAGCCACGCTGACGCTAGCTCGCAGAACATCTGATGTTGGGGTTACTCTTTTTTCCTCTGAGCAACAGTTTAAACTCAGGAATCTTAGAACATTAAACACAAAACAATCACAAAACAAATCTGTTAACGTTGAATCATACAAACAGGATCAACAAAGTAAAACATTGCAAAGGTAAAAAGTCCATATACACTCACATCAGTCCCATCAGTCCTCTCTTTGTCCCACTGGCATGTTTGGAGGTGTTTGTGTAATGTGGGGACAAATGAAGAGGAGTGCAGGACATAGAGGCAGACAGAACTTATACAAAACAAAGACGAAGGGAAATATTGAGGATATAGACGAAAACTGCCAAATTGACGGAAACGACGTGAATGAACGCGCAACAGCTCTGGTGGACGTTCCTGCAGTCAGCCCGCCGACACCTGTGTCGTTGAGTTATGTCATCAAATTGCACATTTTAGAGTGACCTGAGGGTGGTGCTGCCACCCTTAGTGTGTTTCTCTCTCTCCAGGTGCTGGCTGCTGATTGGTGGTTGGAGATTGGTGGAGCTGGTATAAAATGGCCGCTGCTTGAGCTGTTCTTCCTCTTCTCTTGGCCCTACTCCCAACTGCACCATGCTTCGTTGTACTGTGTTAAAAATAAGTTAATTGTGATATTAGTCCAGCAGTCCAGGTAGCTGTAGGAGTGGGTAGCCCTTTTTGTTAATCTTTTTTCTCCTGTTTATTTATAGGGAGTCAGGTGAGTGACCTGTATTTTTATTTTCTTTACTTTTGGGTAGGTAAGTTAGTTTTGGAGAGTAGATTGTTTTGTTTGTTGTTTTGGGCCACGCCCACCCTGAAGCTTATTGCTACCTTTCTTGGTGAGTGTTAAATAAATTATCTTTTGTTGGACTGCAGCTGTGTGGCATTGGTCGTCCTTGGGAGTGGGGAAAGAGGGGAGCATCCTTTCATGCTATGTACCGGTTCCTCTAGGCCAGTCGTAACAAATGGGTCAAAAACAAAAGTGTTGCATGAGAGGTCATAATTTCATTGCGCACTGTCAGCATGACTGTGATGCCATGTGTTCATCATTTTCTTCTCTTCCAAGCTCCCAGCAAAATAAAAGGTTGCAAAATACTGCAGTGTCCTCGCCCTGTTTCATGAATGGACAGTATGATTTAAAGAATGCCAAATAAACTACACATACACATGGAAGAGTAACACACACTCTTTTATTGTTTAAGAATACATCAAAAAGCAATAAATCAACTAAAATAATTAACAACGCATCGGTCGTGTCGAAGGAAAGAGGAAACATTGCAGCCCTTTCCTTCCTCTTATGAAGGACAGAGCAGGCAGCAATGACATCACAGGCCCTGTCTGACCCTCAGGTGGTGTACAAGTACTGTACAAATATCACACAAAGTACAAATGTATGTGTCTGTGCTTTCTGCTGTCTTTGTGGTGTGGTAGAACAGAAAAAAGAAACTATGTTATCCAAACACCCCACCTACACACCGTAAACCCCGAAAATAATTTAAAAAAATAAAAAAAAGATAAAAAAAATAAAACTAAAAACAAGCAGGGAGAAAATCACCACAGGGAAGATACTTACTCTTTAATTCGATGCAGCGAGAATCAGATGGGGTCCAGAGACATTAGAGTATTTACATAGGAAATGACAGGCTGCCATCTTTTGCAGAAACTCAGATGAGCCTCTCCGGGAATATTTCACCTTTTCTAATGATAAAAATGAGAGGCTGACCAGTGCAAGGGGTACCCCAAAGTAGCTATCAAGGGGCCGTGTTAAAGAGTGATATCAATGACTTTACTTCATCTATTAAAGAAAGAAGACCAAAACTAATTTTGGACAAATAAAAACATATGAGTATGATTGGCCACTGATAAGCAACACCTATCACATATATTATTAATACCTGGAAATAAGCTGTTTATCCTAAGTTGGACCTTTACTTGAATTAAAGTCAGATGTGCACAAGAAAATGTAGAACCACCATCTTTTTTGACAGTCTAAATGGTGACATCTGCTGGATTCATCGTGGTACTGCATTTAAAAGGAGGGATTACTGTAAACACAGAACACTGTCAAAATATGAGCGGACTTTTCTGGGAACGTTCAGGCCGACTGGGGTCCCATTTCTTTAGCAGCATTTGCACGCAACTTAAAATCATTGGTGAATATTTCATTTTAAGGCTTGAGCCCTTAATAAATAATGTTTTTAATTTGATCTTCGTTTTTTGGGGGAATTCCTTAGAAAATGATTCTATACTGCAGTATCTGATCAGTGTGTCAGGTAAGGAGGAGGTCAGCACCCAAGAGGCAAATTCTGCACTGAAATATTACAGAGGGGAGGAGTTTCACGGGCACATCGAATATTTCAGAGATTCCCATCAGAATGAATGGACTTCCTAGTGCCTCGTCTCCATTCACATACGTAAGAAAATGAGGTGTTAACATCATATCATGCGTGCAAACTCTTACCGTGACGGCCCACCAGCAGATGGAGACATGAAATATATGTGTGTATGTGCGTTCCCACTTCTGCCTCTTTGAAACATTTACCAACCACATCAGATTGTTATATTTCAGCCACATCAGAAAACTGCAGCCTGCAACAAACAGCTCTGCACAGAACTTTATTCAGGCGAGTACAAACAAACACACACTGCTGGTTTGAGTCAAAACAAAAGGCTCATTATTTCCTTTCTGAATCCTCACAAGATACAAACAAGTTCAGAGTGATCGACAGCACAATCTGAATCACTTGAAACGACAAAAGGTTCTTGATGAACAGACCTGTGGTGACTGGAGTCTCTCTGGAGATACACATGATGAGCTCATATATATATATATTGTAATTCTGTATGCTCCACATGTAATGACACTTTATAAAAATATCAGAGGCTCTTCATACGTTAAGACACGCTGATGTTTTGAGGCTTTATCAGTTCATGAATCTTCAATCATGAGTTGGAGAAAGTGTTTTGTCCCACGACCATCTCGGTGACGTTCGCCTCATTGGTTGCTCAGGATGTTTCTGGAAGGCGTCTGACAGATGTGCAGACAACTGTCTTAAATTTGAGGCGCAACAGTCCGCCCTGTTGCACCACCTTAACTGTTAAATGCAAAGATAATTTAAATGTACCAAAATGGGCGTATATTTGTGATTGAATTTCAAAAACAAAACCTCATGTGTTTGTAACTTTTTTATTTAAAACCAGAGGGGAAACATTTGTTTATTTACAGAGAATGTTTATTCCCAAAGAGCTGCACTCATATTTAACATCTTTACCCATCTACTTTTGGATTCTGTAACTCTGCAAAGCTGGCCATCATTTAGCAACTTCAGGGAGGTGTTTATGAATGCTGCAAATTTACAGTGATCTGAAGTCATCTCTTTCGCGCAAGTCACGCTAAATAACACGTAGCCCCGCCTCATCCACTGCGACTACACGCTGCTCTTTAACAGAAGTTAACCAGCTTTACATTTGCAAAACCAACCAGTTGGTCTTCATCACTGAAGTCTTTTCTCTTGTAAAACTGAGAACATGCTAAAACATAAATCTCATGTCTCTATGTGTCAGTCCTGTGATAGTCTGGTGACCTGTCCAGGGTGTACCCCGCCTCTTGCCCAGTGTCAGCTGGGATAGGCTCCAGCCCCCCTGCGACCCTAAAGAGGATGAAGCGGCTACGTAAATGAATGTTTTATCTAAATCACGTTATTTTAAAAAATCTCATTAGCAAGTGACACATTGGAAAGTGTAAATTATGAGGTGTAGATATTTATCTAATCCTGTCGAGCTCTGCTGGCGTAGATTTAACTGACAAGGCCCCGCCTTCTATTCCAGCAAATAGTGTGCAAAGAACTGTGGGTGCATTATACCCGCTGAGGATACACACATGCAGCCTTGAAAATTCTCTGAATGAAGGACTCTGTCCTCGGTAGAATTTGAAGGATCCTTGACCTTCGGCGGAACTTGATGACATAGCCTCCTTAAAATTCAGCCACTTGAGGATCCTTGAGGACCCACTTCAGAGAACTAGCGGCGACAATGGCCCTCTGCTGCATTGCCTGAAGTTGTCTCAGCCACACTCTGCAAAGGCTACAGCTGACGGCCAAGCAGCACCTAATTCTGCGCATGCGTTATTCAAAAAGGGAAACCAGAATACTATCTTGATGCTAGTTAGACAGTTAGCACGTTAACAACATAATCCAGTGTTGAAAGAACAGAGCATAATTACTGTGTGTCAGTGAACAATAAAACAAACTATCAGGAAACGTTTAGACTAAAAAGCTCAATAACTAAAGAAAAATAAGTTTGTTTTGATCTCACTCCCTCTTGACTTAAGCTCTTTGTTTACGTTCCTCACTTCCATTTCTCTTCTCGTGAGCTGAGCTTAACTGCCAATCAGAGTGATTTCATTCACTGATGGGCTCTGCTGTTGCCGACGCTGATTCAACATATTGATTCAGTGAACAAAATGCCAACCGGGGGCGACAATCTGGGATGCACTACACTGATGAGGGTGACAGACGCTCACCAACGGCGTGTGTCAGGGCCTTTAGACTCATTCGACATAAGCCAGAATCGATCTCTGCACAATGCATGATGGTTATATTTGTGTCCAACTCACTCTGACGTTATGCACATGTGGGCAACGATAACCACACAAGATCAACCTCCCTAAGCCCTCTCACACTTTGTGGAAATGTGCCTTAAAGTCTGTGAGTGTGGACATTTGGATTGAGTCTAACTGGTTGTTTCGGCAAACGTACAACTGGGTAACCTCTACACCTCTGGCAGCACAGAGTCGCTGCTCTGTGGGACCATCAGGGACTAAATACACACCTGATCCCGGCCGTCAGCAGTGGAGCAAAGAGGAGAGAATTCAGTGCTGAACTTTAGAAGTACAACCTTTGAGGCGATCGACTTAAACCAATCCAAAATATGATTTTCTCTGTAAAACATAAAACAGGCGAGATCTGGAAAACACAGTATAAAGTTAATATTCTTTTCTGCTCCTTAAGTTACTTCATGTTTCAGCCCTTCATGTGTTCAGTTTGTGGTTCTGCAGGTTACAGACCAGCTTTTTCTCCGTCACCGATCCGCATCTGTATTTTTACACACTTGTCTCCCTCCTTTAGTGTTTACAGTTTTGTTTGCACATGTGCATTGTGAATGTGAATGTACCAGAATATTCCTCAGTGCTGTGACGTCTGAATCCTTCCAGGTCTCTTTTGTTGAGAAACAATGAAAAAAACAGGAGGTGACGAGTCCTCTGAAAAGACGAGGAGCTGAGATGTCTGCGGCGACACGTTCTCTACTTCCTTTCCTTCACCAGCTTCACTTCCCTCCTTTGTCCATTAAATTCGCTCCCTCGTTTACTTCATTTCTTCTCTCTTGTTTCCAAATAAACTGAATCTTCAGTCTTTTCTTACCTCCCTCCTTCCTTTCCTCCACTGTCCCCTTCTCTCTTTCCTCATTTCTTTCTTGCCTCTTCATCCCCTCCTCTCTGTCCTCCGTCGTCCTTCTCTCCGGGGTGTTTCCTTATTGGCTGACGCTCTCTCCCAGTAGCCAATAGGTGGTCATCTTCCCTTTGCCCTTCACCTCGATCTCTCCTCTCAGCTCCAGCTGGAAGCAGTTGAACTCCAGCAGGACGTCGCGAGTCGCCGCCGACACGTGGATCTTCAGCGCTGCACAAACACACACAGGAACAAAACAATTACACACACAAGTTCATTTCTGCATGTGTTTGTCCGGGACTATTTGAAGCAGGCAGGATTCAAAGTAATTTAAGCAGTAATTTAACTGCTAAACACTTCTGTTAGTTCATTTATAACCTGTTTTGGAACTGGTTTCTGGTAGGCACTGACCTCTCCACACAAAGTCACAAAGTGCTTCACAGAGTTGAAACAGAAACAAAACACGTTTCAGGACCGCAACGACATAAATCCTGACAATGACAACAACAGCTTAGAAATAAACACCCCAAAGTAACATAACAGACAGAAAGCAATAACAGTAAAACAGATAAGACATGTTGGAAAAAAAACGTGCTCACATTATTGAAAAGCTTTTTTAAAAAGATAATGTTTCGAGAAGTGATTTATAAGATGACTCTGCAAGTCTCAGATCCTCCCCCGGGGGAAAGGAAAATTCAAAATGTGATCTCTTCTTTGTTCAGACTATTTCTTCGTATTCATTTCTTTCTTTTTAACTCTTTATTTAAAATATTTTAAAATCTTAAGACAAAACATCAACACCATAGAGAACACTGTGTCAGGATACACCAGTTGAGTATTCATGATGCCACGTGTTAAAGGTCCTTTTATTGTCCACAGACATTCACAGTGAAGCTGCATCCACTTCTTATGAAATAAAGACTGTCTATTTCTCCAATTTTCTGAGGAATATTGCTCCTCTAGACCTCAGGGAAAAGATTTCCATTACAAAAAAAATTCTTGATTATGTCCATCTATTGTTTAAGGCCTGGAGGCTCAGTTTTCCACTTTGTAATCACTTACCTGTCTTTTTTCTATATATGACATCGTCCCTTATTGCACCAAATACAGGACCTTGACATCAATAGGCATTTCATATACCCAAATTTTTTTTATCTGGACATGTGTGGCAGTGATTGACATCCACGTGTCCACACTGTCTCCAACATTGCTGTTGTGACTAAGATAGTTTGCCTTTAGTGTAGGGTGTGATGAAGAAGTGGATTCCAGCCAAATTCTCTCCATCCCTGCAGTAATCTTTATTTGTCTGAGATAATCAGCTCTTGAGATAACCTGACTGGCTTTTAAATGATGCTGCACAATTTCAGAAATTTGTCTCAGTGATCAAACTCAAGTCTCAGCTCTGTGTATTTGATCTACTCCAGAAATGAAAAGCGTCTGAACACAGTAAAACAACTCCTGCTGATTCATTCTTTTGCTTCTGATCTCTCCTGAGGGGGTGTTTACGAAAAAACAGATCAGAATTTATTCATCTCAAAAAAGAAGCTTACTTATTGCTGATGAGACAAAAAAAAGACTATCGTAAGCAGTGAAACTTTCCCAGGTGCAGGCAGCAGATTAAACCTGTTGCTGCAGATTCACTTCATGATGGCCGTCATGTGTTGGCTGTACACTGCAGCCTGCAACAGATGAATCTGAGAGGCCAAAAGAAAGTTACTGAGTTTTAAATCCCTGCCGACTTCGAGAATCGCAGGGAGGATGTAAAAGACTTATGGGTTTCTGCAGTGGTACGTATATTTTGTAAGAATCAGTCTGGTGTACGTTCAGAACATCACCAGTTTTTAAGTCAGCTGTGTGTGAGGTGCAGATCTGCGTCACTGAAGACAGAAAGAAAAATAAAACTCCAAGAAATGTATTTGCAAATATTGAAAGCTAAACCTTAGATGTGATGTTATTGTCATCGCTGACAGGAAGACAGAAAGTTTGTGTGTCTGTGCAGCTCTGACCTTCTCCGCTGGACTCCATACGTGACGAGGTGTTGACGGTGTCGCCGAACAGACAGTAACGTGGCATCTTCAGACCCACCACACCTGCACACACTGGACCTAATACACACAGGAAATAACACACAGCAAGAGCAGGTTCATGCATCCATCCTGAGATACACAAATCTGTACTTTAAACCTCTTTTTATCTGACCATGTTGGAGCTTTTACTACATGCACAAGAACACGCTGTGTGTATCCTCACCGCTGTGTATTCCTATCCTCAGCTTCAGCTGCTGCTCTGAGCGGTGGCGGATCTTGAAGGTTCGGACGGCGTCCAGCAGGGCAAGGGCCATGCGGGCGATCTCTCTGCCGTGCAGGTTCCCGTTCCTCACTGGCAGCCCTGACACCACCATGTAGGCGTCGCCGATGGTCTCCACCTGAGGGCGCCACGGGACCACAAACAACAGGTTGTAGTGGCAGAGGAACACTGGTGGTGCTCACAAAATATGTCGCAGCAAGAGATGAGTTTTAAAATTGACCAAGTGAACACATGAACTATTTTCTTATTTAATACGTTTGTATTTATGGATTCATCCAGAGGTGGAAAGTAACAACGTACATTTATTGAAGTAAGTACAAGTTTTAGGTATTTGTCCTTGAGCATTTACATTTTGTATTTTTTGTATTTGTACTCGACTACATCTGAGACTGCACTTCAGTCATGACAGCTTTAGTTACTCGGCAGATTAAACTTAGAAAACATAACATATTGTTAAGATTATAGATTAAATTCTCAAATTGTTTGACTTGAGACCTTTTACAAAAAGCAACAAAGTGATGTTTCTCCTCTGAACTTCCCACATGGTTTCATTTCAATAAATGTTTGAAGCAAGAGCTTGAATTTCCTCCTCTTCTTTCTCCAGTTAAAGGGATACTTTCTTGATTTCAGCCAGGTTTTTATCATAACAATGTGGGTAGTGGCTAACGTGGGGGGTGTGGAGTTTACATGTTCTCCCTGTGTCAGCGTGGGTTTCCTCCAGGTGCTCCAGCTTCCTCCCACAGTCCAAAGACATGCAGGTTAATTGGTGACTCTAAATTGTCCGTAGGTGTGAATGTGAGTGTGAATGGTTGTCTGTCTCTATGTGTCAGCCCTGTGATAGTCTGGTGACCTGCCCAGCGTGAACCCTGCCTCTCACCCAGTGCCTGTTGGGATAGGCTCCAGCACACCCTCAACCCTTTACAGGATGAGCGGTAACGGAAAAATGGATTTTTTTTTTTATCTCAGCTCCGCTCTGCTGCTGTTATTTTGTGTAATTTCTCACATCTTTTTATTTTAAAGTTTCAGATTTTACTTGTGTAGACAAAAGTTAATGTTCCAATTGTGTGCGAGTTTTCTACTTTTGTTATTTTACCACACTTTGTCTGATATTTTGGGGATGTAATATTTACACCTGATAAAAAGCATTTCATCTTCACTGAACAGCAGCAAATACTTTGATCTCCTCAGATCAATAAAACTCAGTTTGGTCTCCTCTGATTTTAAAGATGATTGTGTCTCTGAAGCATAAAGGAGTCTGGAGTCTTAAAATCAATGCACGTTGCCGAACAAACGTGCGCACGGTGCTGATTCTTCTTTTCAAATCTTAAAACCTGAACAGAACTTTGAGTGGAGACCTGAGGGATTCTTTTATTGTGGTGGAAACAGTTTGTGTTGATTTTGTCACCTTGTAAACATCAAAGTTGTCGATGATGGCATCGAAGCAGGTGTAGAGGTCGTTCAGCAGAGTCACCACCTGCAGAGTCACAATGATGGCAGCTCAGATACAACTTTCAGCTTTTTGGAAACACAAAAAAAAAAGCACTTTTCACTCTGTCGCTGAAGGTGAGAGGAGAAGTTACCACTCTCATGTCTGTGTGAAGTTCTCAGCTGCACCTGTTGCTGTTGTTCACCTTGGAAAAGTTCCAACTTGTCTCTATGTCTAAACCACACACTGTTTTCACACTTGTGTTCAAACAGGTTTGTTCATTACAGATTCAGAGCACCGTCAGCTGAAACTTAATTACAGTAAATAACAGAGACTGTGCTCACCTCCATCGGTGTGCTCTCTGCTGAGATGGCTGTGAAACCCACAATGTCACTGAAGTAGATGGTGACGGAGTCAAAGGCCTCGGCCTGAACTGTCTCACCTCGCTTCAGCTGCTCCGCCACTGAACTGAGAAACAGGGAGAGGTGTTGACCAAACACATCAGGCTGAGGAAACTTACATGCACCTCACTGTGGTAGTATCAGCAGTATATGTAGTACTCACTGTGGTAGTATCTGGTACAGCAGGGCCTCAGCCTTGCGTTTCTCCTCGTGATAAGCTTGTGTTCGTTCCTCCACCAGCTCCTCCAGGTTGTTGGCGTACTGCTCCATACGGGACAGCAGGTTGTCCAGGATGTTGGTCCTCGACTCCCTGAACACACACACCAAATGTGGATTAATCCGCCAATAAAAACTACAGTTAGCAGCTGTTTTAGGAAACTACCAAGACCAAAAAAAAGTAAAAGCTGTCATGCTCATGTAGCCTTTATCTTAGTATCTGGAGAAGATGACTGAATTTTATTTCAGTAAAACACAATAAACACTGTGTCAACTATTATTTCATCACTTGTTGTTGAAGCACTCACTTGTTCTGTTTGCGCAGCAGCAGCCGGATGTGGTTGAACTCCGGTCTCTCCGTCGGCTCCTCGGCCCAGCAGCGCTGCATCAGCTGACCCAGCTCGGGACTGTGACTCTGGGGGTCAATGGTCGGCCTGAGGCAGGGCCACTCGCCCAGGATCACCCGGTCCACGATCTCTGCAGAGGGAGGGGGAGATACAGTATATCAACAGTCCTCACGAGAAAGACAGTCGACATTTTAACAGATTCAATTCTGTCTGAGATTCAGGACGGATGGTTCTGGATGGTTTTTAAACTGTGAGGTGAAAATGAGAAGAAAAGCAGATGAAGTTGGACAAACTGAAATAACAAACCTGGACAGAAATAATATTTGTTAAGTGTCATCCTTTTTTTAATTTCCACAAAAACAGACTTAAATCAATTTCTTAGAGCCTTGAAGCCAATTTCAGCATAAAACTATATTTATTTAGACTTAGACGTAAAGGTCCAGTGTGTGAAATTTAGGGGCATTTAGTGGCTTCTAGAGGTGAGGACTGCAGATTGCAACCAGCCGAAACTACTGCCGCAAAGAATTCCTTCAGTGTTTTCTGTTCAGGAGATATTTTCCCGGGAGTTAATTATCCACAGAGGTCTCTTCTTCTCCAAAACAAACAGACCAGGTGATTAAAACCGGTAAAACACTGAATAAATGATTTTTACGTTACAAATCTGTGTTTTTCTGACGCTGTTTGGCAGGTCGCAGAAACCCACTTGCCCAGCACCTGTGTGCTCACCTTGTTGCCGGGAACTGAATTATCCACAGAGGTCTCTTCCTCTTCAAAACAAACAGACCAGGAGTCTCATTTATAAAACAATGTGCAGGATCCATACTAAAAATGTACATCTGCAGCCTGTTATATTTTGTTGTGAAAATGTGGGCGTGCAGCCTCGTTCTGTGGACGATAAACCAGGTGCAGACTTCCATCTGTGTCACCGCTGATGAGGAAATACAGCGAGTGCTGGACGGAGCAGTGAGTGACAACAACCCCGCCCACATTTAAGAGGACTGTCTGAACAGACCGAGGGTCTAGGTACCATGTCTGAAGGGTCACTGCTGGTTCCAAAGGTGCTGGACTGAAAGGGTTTGGTGGAAACAGTGCGCTTGCTCTATGGGTCCAATGATGTGGAAGCAGAGCTGATCATCTGGGGAATTTCATACTACTGAAACAGAGCGATTTTGGCTTCATGCATCACTGAGCAACTTTATAGGAATGAACGGGGTCCTGCCGCCAACGCTGTATCCAGATCTTTCATCCATGACCTGCTACCTATGTGGATATACATGTCTCATTCTAAGGTAACAAAAACACAATGATTCTTATTTCCAGGTGATGATACATTAAAGAAAACGGTCATTATAATATAATAATCCTACACACTGGATTTTAAAGGGTGCTTCAAACTAAATTGATCTTAAACTTTCCAGATATTAATGCTGTTTTTCCTTGAAACACTTCATGTGTGACTCTGCCCTTTGCTTTCTTCCTCTGTGGTTTGGAAACAGGAACATTTCCATGTCAGCTTTAAGGTTTCAGCCGTACACGCCACGCTACAATTAAAGTTTGACTGTGAGCCTCTTCTAAATAAATGAGGCCTTGGCAGAGCGCAGGCTGACGGCTCTGAAACTGCTCGATGCTACAAATCCTGGAAAGTGTATTTGGAAATAAAGCTGAAAGAAGAAAGACTGCTGAGCAACTGAAGCGTCGTCCAGCTGGCATCAGGTCGGACAAAAAGGAGAAATAAATGTCCAATCTTTCTCTTTTCACCTTCTCAGTCGTACAGTTGCTCTCTCCTACTCCTCCTCCGTCAGGGTGTAATTGTAGGTCTCACTCGTGTCATGCTCCATCTCTAATTCCCCTTATTTAGACGCCGTCACGACTCACTCCCTCAGAATCCATCCATCCGCCGCCGCTGCTGCTGACCTCCGCTTTGTTTGCCGCTTCTCTCACCATTTCCTGCCTCCCTCATCAACAACTGAACACAGCAGCAGTTTCCAATTGGGTCAGTAATACATCCAGACCCAGCATTACTAGTTTTACTTATTTTACTGAAGAGTCAGAAACAACAAAATGTTCATATTAATGGTGACTGCAGGGGATTTTTAAAGTTTGTAATTTCTTGGTGTAATATTGTTTTGTTATAGAATATTAATGCCTACCATACACTGGAAGACTTTTATAAAGTGTGACACCCTCTCACATCTAAAGACGAGAGTTTTTATAATAACAATAACTTTATTTATACAGCACCTTTCATGCAAGAAATGCAGCACAAAGTGCTTTACAATGAGGGCAGTATAAGCTCTGAGTGCTTCAAATGAAAACAGCCAGAATTAACATAAAACTGAACTGATTCATAAAATCACAGAGTTGTAAAACTTTAAATCATAAAATCAAGTAAGATTTGAAGAGTTGCAGCAGCGTGAAGCGTAAACAGAAAGAGTTTCAGACCTGTATCAGGACGTCAGAGCCAGTTAAAGTCTGAAGTGAACAGATATGTTTTTAGCTTTCTTTTAAAAATATTTAGCGAGCATATCTACAGGTCGTGTGCTCATAGCTTTGGGGCGTCACTGACAAAGGCTGCATCCACGATCTTCTTCCGACTGTTTCTGGGAACCTCCAATAAACCACCAGCAGCAGCAGATGATCGCAGTGTTCTTGGAAGCAAATAGTTAACAAGGGAGTTAGCGATGTAGCTCGGTCCCAGCCCATGTAGGGCTTTGTATACAAGGAGGAAGAGCTCAAAATCAACTGTAAATGTAACAGGAAGTCAGTGCAGAGCAGCTCAGACTGGACTGATGTGCTCTCTCCTCATGGTTCTGGTTCATAGCCGAGCTGAAGAGGTTTCAATCAGCTGAAATCTCTCAGTGGTGTTTTTTGGGAGGCCAGTGAAAAGTGTGTTACAGTAGTCAAGTCAGCTTGAAATAAAGACATGAATCAATTTCTCGGCATCTTTTTCATGTAGAAATGGTCGTACCTTAGTGATGTTTCTGTTTCTGGGGTGGGAAAATGATGTTTTCGTCACCTTGTTAATGTGGAACTTTAAGCTTAGATCTGAATCAAGGATCACACCAAGACTTGTCACCTCAGATTTAATCCAGGGAGTTAAATTCCCCAGATTATCAAGCAGCATTTCTCTTTTTGTTTTCGGGCCGACAAGCAGGATTTGAGTTTTGTCTTCATTGTCCTTTGAGAAATTATTGCTCATCCATTTATTCATTGCCCAAGGACAAGTAGTGATGGAGTTCATGGCTGAAGTATCATTTGGCTCAGCAGAGATGTACAGTTGTGTGTCATCTGCGTAACTATAGAAACAAAACATTGTGTTCTCCAATGATGTCACCATGGCAGCATGTACAGTGAGAATAATAATGGACCAAGGCAGCTCCCTTGTGCAACCCCAAAACAGAGGTCATGTTTCTCAGACACATGATCTCAAAAACTTCCTCCCTTTAATGTTATGAACCAGATTAACACACAGTCAGAGAGACCAAGCAACTAGTCACATGCTACAAGAGTTTATAAGGACTGGGGATCTTGCAGCACCACTATTTGCAACACTACAACTAGATTCCTTTTGGGGTAATTTCCCATCCTGCTCCTGGTGGAAAATATTACACCAAACTCCCTTTAAGAAATATGACATATTAACAATTTGTTACTTGTATGGAAAAACATACAACTCTAGAAACACAAGATAAAAGGCGGAGGGGACCATGGGATTAAGTGTTGCAGTGTGCTCCTCTGACCTGCCATACATGACATCTTCTCAGCTCACTCAGTAGTTTTCCACACCTACCTGCCAGCCTATCACCTGTCCACACATTTCCCGCTCCAGCCAGTCCACAACACCCACCTCATCAAGCTAACCCTGCTCGCCTGTCCCTCATTACCCCCTGCCACTATAAAGACTCTCCTTGTCAGATTGTTCTTCGCCATATCATGCAAGACTTTCCAGCGTTAATCCTTGGTCTGCGTCCTCGTTGCTGACCTCGCCTGCCTCTGACTCCTCGGCTTCGTCTGCGTCCCAGTAAACCGTTCAGCCTTCTGTCCTAGACCAAGAGCTCTGCTTCTGCCCTCCTGGTTTCTGTTCTCCTTTTCCCCATGGCTGTGTGAAGAGACCGTCATCCAACTCTCCTTAGTAAGTTTACCTCTTCTTCTGCCTGTGGTTTCCTGTGTTAGGGATTGCCTCACCACGTGGCCGCACATTCTGCCTGTGTGTGAACACTGTGGAATTATCTCTTCATTGCTGCTGGCCAGAGCCATCCTCTAGAGTTGACTCCACACAGGTGCATTTGTTTCCCTTGTGTGTACTCCTGATTCCGGATTCCTTGCTTGTCACCTTCTGCCTGCTCCCTTGCGGTACTGTTGCACACTATTGAACTGTTTGCTGTGTGTGTGTGGACGCTGGCTTATCACCTGTTTTTGGCTTCGGTGTTCAATGCCTAGAGCCCTGGATTGAACCTGCTTCTCAGAAGGCTTTGAACCTGGGTATTGACTCTCGCAGTTGCTTTACCTGTCGGCTCACACTGTGCATTAAAGTTTACGGAGAAGGAGGAGAGTGACTCACGCAGACAGTACTCAGGCTTTGCGTCAGACGGCAACAACAGCAGATCAGCGGCAATCAACTGGTGCTGTTGCTGCGTCCCCAGTCACAAATACATTCTATTTTTCACTTGTTCCTGCAATTTCCAGCAATCACAAAAACAGCTTGTGAAATCCAGGAGGGATGGTTTAGTGTCAGGCTGTGCTGTTTCACATTATGCCTCATAAATAAACCCGGGAATTCATAGTTTGTTTCACAGGATTTTATCTTCCTGCACACTTGAGCTGTTTGCTGTTCTGAGTGTCACTGTCCTTTCGAACTTACTGGTTGAAGACACTCGGACTGTATCTGCGTGGACAAACAAGCTGTCTGACATCCTGGGACAGACATCCACTCCAATCTGTCCAACAGTTCAGAGCCCTAACAAGTGTGAATAAACTCAAAGGCTGTTTGTAAAATAAGGAGGATTCACTGTGATGAAGCCTGGCGCTGCTGGAACACATTGTTGATTTGATTTCCTTCACTGAGGCCTGACTCTGGGGGAAAACTGTTTTTTCTTCTTCTTCCTTTCTTAGAAATTCATACTTCATGAATCTGTAGTAAAAACCAACCTCCAAACCAAACTTTCATTCCACAAGCCATCGACTTAATCCTGACTCTACCTCAGCTGAAGGACGTCCCCCCACACACAGACAAGCTGAAAGAGATAAATTAATAAACCAGACTCTCCAGAGTGAAGCGGTTTCTGATTCTGTGGTTTGGCCGACAAAACAAACAAATCCTTTAAGCTTTTTATATAATTTTTCAAACCTCCACTTAATTCCTGGAGAGAATGATTTCAGTGGAACAAACGTGTTGTCAGCATGTGGCGACTAATAGCACCACAATAAATGTTGTTCTATGTTCTGCCTGTTCAGCTCACTTCTTTTCTTAAAAACTATTTATTTTCTTTTTCTGCAGACTCATTGATCCTCAGCATCAAACAGGCCGGAACTTTACTGTGATCTTATTAAACTGAACTGTAGTCTACTCCACTTCACCAACCAAAAGAGTTGCAGAGTGAAAGCGAGGCTAAAGGGCATCATTGTGGAAGTTAAGACAGAAGGTATGAGGTGCCATCCCTCCAAACCAAACGGGTTTTCAGATCATCTGGGCCCAACAGTACTGTTTCCACCAAGCAGTCCAGTTCAGCACGGTACACTTTTTTCTGTTCGCACAGTGAAAAGTTGTGGATGGTACCAACAGAAGCGTTCCTTAACGTCCCCATTTTTGGTCCCCCCTCTGTTGGGGTACATAGCACACAGATCTGGTACTAAAAGGTGGAGCTGTGAACATCGTTCCTGTGGGCTCCAGCAACACTAAACCCCTGAGCTTGCCTGAGAAGGACTAAATGCACAAAGCTGCTATTTTTAAATATCCCATGGAGAGAGACTCTCACTGCAGCCTGTTCTATTCTGTTGTGAAAATGTGGGCGTGCAGCCTCGTTCTGTGGACGATAAACCAGGTGCAGACTTCCATCTGTGTCACCGCTGATGAGGAAATACAGTGAGTGCTGGACGGAGCAGTGAGTGACAACAACCCCGCCCACATTTACTATTGGTTCCAAAGGTACTGCACTGAAAGGGTTTGGTGGAAACAGGGCTTAACTGAGCTTCTGTGCGTGAGGATGCTGCACCTTATGACATGTAGAACGCTTTAATGATATGTGGTTAATGAGTCTCTAATCATGGAAAAGTGCCCTGTTCTTTATGTTTGACATTTTGGTTATTGGTGTTATTATAGTTTGTTATTATAGTTGTCTGTGTCGCACCTTTGGGGCTGAGTGGGTCTCCCTCCAGGTAAAAGGCTCCTCGGCGCAGCGCCACCTCCTGGAGGATGATGCCGAAGCTGTAGACGTCTCCTTTCTGGGTTCCCTGAGGAGGAGGACACTCCATCCTGAGCAGCTCTGGAGCCATCCACAACCTCTCTGCAGCAGGACATACAGGACAGGATGGTGTGTTAATAACAGGTTTGTTATTCTGTGGTTTTTGTTCACTTGTATTTCTTTTAATAACAGCTAACAACTGCTTCACTATCACTGTTGAGCATATGACAATAAAGAACTCAAGGTGGATAATGATGAGACAAAATATTGAATGTAATACTGTTTTGGTACAAACTAAAATTAATGCTTCTCCAGACTGGGGGCGTGTCCACAGACATATACTGTAGGTAACTGACTTTGGATAAATACCCAGTATAACCCCACTTCAGAAAATTCAGACTATTCCTTTAGGAGCAATAAACGTAAAAGCTTTCATGATCTGTAAATCACTGAGAGATCAACTGCTAACACGTTCCCATCCCAACTTGTCGGTGGACCTAAAAGCCAACAAATAGGTACCCTCCTGTGTCAGTTTTGGACGTTTAGGGAGGGCATCTCAATCTACACTGCAGGTTTTCTTCCAAAGAAAACTTACTACATAGGTGAAACATGTTTTTTTAGCTTTATTTCCTTAAGTTTAGGCAACAAAAGCACGTGGTTAAGTGTAGAAAACTAGTTTGCTGCCAGCAACATTACAAACTGAAGTGACCCGGTGTGTATCATATTGCCACAGAGGGTGCCTCTGTGAGTCGGTATCTGACGCCAACGTCCACTGGCAAAGCGGCAGTATCTGACGGGTTAGGCTGTTGCCTGCTGCGTCAAAAACTGCTGCGGTCCTGTGCCTATCATACTGCTGCAAAACATGCCTATGTGCATCTGTGTCTGATGCTGAGATCACTGAGAAAACCAGTGGTATTTGACACGTTGCCTTGCCAAAACCACTCACAACTTCTGCCTCACCACTGATAATTCCACTCTGCATTCCTCCCCACACATCCGCAACATCACATGCAACACATGCCACAAGTCAATCAAATCAGCAGTTCTGCCTTCTTCCACCTAAAAAACATAGCCCATCTCCGCTCCTCTAATGCCAACCTCCTGACTCCACCACTCAGGACCAAGCACCAGACCTGAAGTGACTGAGCCTTCTCTACGGCCGCCCCCGATGTCTCCCGCTTCAAATCATCAGAGCTCATCTTTCAAAATGGGCTTTTAATGTGTGACTGATGTTGTGTGTATTTTAGTGAATGCTGTTTTATGATTGTTTTTAAGTAAAGTGTCTTTGAGGCCTATGAAAAGCGCTCTATAAATAAAATGCATTATTATCAACAAACTATAGTAAAGCGTTGACTCACGGGCGTAGTAGGCGTGAGCGTCTTTTCCTGAGTCGCTCTCAGATCTAAAGCTGGACAAACCGTAGTCTGTGATCTTCAGGACGAAGCGGTTGTCCACGACACAATTGGACGACTTGAGTTTACCGTGAGAGAAGATGACACTGTTGTGGAGGAACACCATGCCCTGCAGAGACAGAGAGGGAAGAAGGAGACAACTATATGTTATCTCGTGAACAGAGTGGGAGCAGGTAGAGAAGATAAAACAGGAGGACATGAACCTTGACGATGTCATTGATGAGAGAGTACTTGAACATCCAGTCCAGAGTGATGCTGTCGTTCTCCAAGATGTCCTGAAGACACAAAATACAGCCTGTTAACAGACAGGCAGACAGACAGACAGGTAAACACAGGTAGACAGACAGACAGGCGTACCTGCAGACTTCCTCTGGGACAGTACTCTGTGATGATACAGGTGTTGGGAGGGTCGATGCACGCTCCAATGAACCTGGTTAGATGCTCGTTCTGAACGTCTCGCATCTGCACCAACACACACACACACACACACACACACACACACACAAATAGATATTAATTTATGCTGCACACACACATAAAATCAACACTTACTTTATAGCGTGGATTATCACCCTCATTTGTGACTGATCTTATTTTTCTGGTAAAAAAAGATTGGAGCCATCAGTCACTCACATGTTTGAGTTCAAACAGGACCTTCCTGTTCAGCTCGATGCGTTTCCTGTTGGTGTATTTGATGGCCGCAATGTTCCCCTGGAAGAACGCAGAGAGAGAGAGATCACTGTCATCGTCTGTGCCTTTCCTTCATTCCTCATGTGTCAGCTGTTTCCCCCTTTTCTTTGTTTCCTTCCTTGTTTGTCTCTCTGTGTCTGTGTGTCGGGGCGTGGCTCTCATCAGTCCTGCTGCCAATCTGTCTGCCCACCTGAAAGCCATCCACTAATCAACCCCAGCCTGCAGCCCAGTCTCTGCCAGATCCTTCAGTCTACCTTGTGGTACTAACTACGGCCTGTTTGTTTCCTCTTGGCTTCCTAAACCTTGTTTCTCTGTGCATGCACTGGTCACCCGTTTGCCTGCCAACCTGTTTCCAGCCCCGCTCGACCTGCCCTGTTTCCCCCGAGTGCCCTGGATCAACCCGAGACACCCCTTCTTGCTTTACTGAAATAAATCCACTTTAAACTGAACAGCTGTCTGAGTCACACTTTTGGCTCCAGTTCGCTCTTTTCTTAACAACAATCACACTAAATTTAAAAGCCTTAAGTTCAATGCAAACATATTCCTGATGATGGTTTCTGTTACCCTGTAGTAGCTGTTTTTTGACCAGGGAAATCTGCTAAAGTCTGATATATTTAAATCTCTCCAGTGAAAATAATTCACTCAGTGTCCTTACTGAATGTGACACGAACGAATGTCAGCGACAAAGGGTGAGGGCTGAACTTCAGAGCAGAACTTTTGTCACATATTTGTACTTTTTTCCCCCGTTGTTCACTCTGAAAGCTGTTCAGAAGAACAGCTGATTCGTGAAGTTGAATTGAGGGCTTATCTACTCAATACTTTCTTATTACACTACAAAAGCCAGCATAAGGTGGCAGCCATCTTGTATGTCATTTCCAGTAAATATCACAATATAAAAAATGTTTTCAATTAAAAGTACAAACACTTAGAAGACAGCATGTACTTGCCCGTCTTCTAAGTGTCTTCAGTCTGATCTTGAGTGCACTGATCGCTACGTGGTGTGTTTGCATCGTGTAACAGGACTATCAGTTGTTTTTAGACTCAAAAAACAGATGTTATTTCACCAGAGTGGTCGATCACTTCAGCTGATGCATCGAGCACAAATCAAACATTAGACTAAAATCAGACACGTCGTTCCTCATATAACAAAGAGCTGCAGCTCAGTCACCAAAGCAAAGTTAAAACTTGTGGCCCACACAGATAATTGACTGCTAAAAACTGTTCAGCATTTTTTCTCAACCAAGGAAACATTTAACGAGTCTTCCTGCACTTAACAGGCCATTTCCTTTCCTCAGGATAAATATATGTTTAAGTGGAAAAACAAGTGAGCTTTTGTGTGTCTGACTCTCATCACTTCCTGTGTCTCAGGAAAGAGCTTTCAGACAGCGATTGTTTGGAAGAACTAATGAATGATAAACAGCCTTCGAGGAGCTGCGTGCAGGCTGATGAGCACTGTGTGAGAGGCGTCAGACAGCAAGGAGAGAACAGACGGGCTGAACGTGTAACTACAGCCTAACTCATCCTCAGCAGGAAACACAAAAACACCACACTGACCTTGTAGTATCCAGTCTTCGCAAAAACCTGCAGGTTTCCATCTCCAGTCATCAGCGAGCCGTAGTTAGAGCCTCTCTGGAGACAGATACAGGGTCAGAGTGTGTGTGTGTGTGTGTGTGTGTGTGTGTGTGTGAAAAATCAGTGCTCATATTGCAGGGAACAAAAGAGACACAATTACAGAATGAAATAAGGATAATGACTGTGAGAGCACATCACAAGCTCCAGTAGCCTCTATGTGTGTGTGTGTGTGTGTGTGTGTGTGTGCTGACCAGTGACAGTGTGATCCTGCTGCCGCTGCGCAGCACTTTGTCCAAATTACTCATCTGGATGTCGTCCCATGAAATCCTCCAGAGCTGAGCCACCAGCTCCTTCTCCAACTTCATCCTCCTGCAGACACACAGACACACACACACAGACACCCAGACACACAGACACATACAGACACACACACACAGACACACACAGACACACAGACACACACAGACAGACAGGTCACAGATTGACTGTTTACTGCTAAACACTCTGACGAATCTGGAGGAGGCTGTGGGTTAAATAATTAAACACCAGAGACCAAGCTACTGAAGCATTTGAATAGGGTGAATTTGAGGCACAAGACAGGGCCTGTTGACTCATCATATTAAACCGCCACCTTTTACAAACCATAAGAAGGTGCTTCGAGTTGCCTTAACAGAACAATAAAGGTGAGTTACTGACACACTTCCCTAAAGCTGGAAGAGAGAAAAAGAAGAAGAACAGTCAAATAAACGCAGCTGAGGCTGATGGATCGGCGGTTTGACGTGGCATCTGCAGTGATGTGGGCACTGTTGTGGTGAAGAGGGAGCTGAGCCAGAAGGCGAAGCTTTCGATTTACTGGTCCATCTACGTCCCAACCCTCACCTATGGTCATGAGCTCTGGGTAGTGACTGAAAGAACGAGATCTCGAATACAAGCGGCTGAAATGAGTTTGTCTGTATTTGTCTGTCTGGGCTCAGCCTTAGAGATAGGGGGAGGAGCTCAGATATCCAGAGGGAGCTCGGAGTAGAGCCGCTGCTCCTTCATGTTGAGGTGGTTCAACATCTGATCAGGATGCTCCTGGGCGCCTCCTGTTAGAGGTGTTCTGGGCACGTCCCACTGGTAGGAGGCCCCGGGGCAGACCCAGAACACACTGGAGGGATAATATATCTCATCTGGCCTGGGAACGCCTCAGGGTCCCTCAGGAGGAGCTGGAAAGTGTTGCTGGGGAGAGGGACGTCTGGGGTGCTTTGCGTCACCCTGTTGCCCCCGTGACCCGGCTTTGGATAAGCGGTTGAAAAATGGATGAATGGATAAGAATAAGACTCAAAATATGAATAAGAAGCCCAAGAAGGCCTATGAGATTGTATTTTTCGTCTGAAATTGTCGCGCGTCTAAAAAGAAATATGACCTAACGTTGTTTGCACACTGAGTCCGAAACCTTAGTCCATCATTGAAGCTTTCAGAACAGGTTCAATTTCCTGTGTCCATCCTTCTGTAGAGACGTTTGACCAAGAATCACTGAAGAAAATGTCTCAAATCCCCCAGACCCCCGACAGAGTCTGGTCTATGCACCAATCCCTAGAAACACGCCTGCACACACCTGACCTGTGCGGAGCCGCTGCGTCTGGCCCCTGGCCTCCTGTCAATTTGCAAAAGTGGCCCCTGGGCAAAGCAAGTTGAGCTTCCCTGATGTTGACTGTTTTAAACTTTAAACATAAACAGTCTAAATTTGTCCTTTTGTACTTCCTGTTAAAAGGTTTTACAGTGTGTGTGTGAATGACATCAACTGACAGGAAGTAGGTATGGACCCAAGTCGTTGCCTAGCAATGTAATTACAGTGACACGGTCGTTAAAGACACAAAGTGCTGCTACAGAGCTGTTACAGACGTTCCCCAGCTGCAGCGATGGTGCAGAGATGCTGAGAAACAGAAGACCTGGAAACACTGATCAATCAGAGCAGCGTTTCAGACAGAGGGTGAACACAGGTACATTCAGGCTGACAGTATGAGAACAATAAAGTGTGTTTAGAACATTAAAGCGTGTAAACATGTTCCAATAGACTTAAATGCAAGTATGAGTATGGGACCTTTAAAGATGTGCTAGAAAGTACTGAGAGACTGACCTGTAGATGAAGACGGTGATGGTGAGGGTCATCAGGAAGATGAAGAAGACCACGATGGAAACCATCTGGTGGATGGTGATCGTCTCTGCCAGAGAGAAAGAAACTATTCAGAGACACTCAGATTTATTACACTGAAAATACGACATACAGACAGCCATGAATGAATATGTAGGACGAGTTGGGATTTTCGGAGTGGGGATGTATGAGGTACTTATCCATAGTCAGTGTATCACCTACCTACAGTAGTGAATAGTGGTAGAGCAGTTCAGTGAGCTAAAATGACGGGAGCATAGAAACTGAGGCTGTTAACAGCTTCCACATGGGAACGGACTGTTTGACGTGAAAGTAAAGTGGTGAGAATGTTCTCAGTATAGTGAACACTAAAGCCTAGTTCACATTACATGATTTTCACTGCGATTTTGACGTCGCAGATGATCTTGAGAGCCACCTTGGGTCGGAGGCGATTCGGCAGATAGTCTGCCACGACGAGTCCTCAGGTGTGAACAAGCCTACGAGCAAGTCGCCCCCTCGTCTGTGACTGGGATTGGATATCTGGCATGCTAGAAAACTGGAGAAGTGTGACACGACTGACAAAGAGCATCAGCCAATGAGAGGCGGGATACGTTCCACGTCAGCACGCAGGAGGACAGAAGAAATGTGAGGAGGATGAGCTGCAGGGTTGCCAGGTCTGCTTATTAGCTGTGACTTTGGGCTTGTCTCTGAAGTGGAGTTGCATATTTGGGCTTGCTCTCTAAACGTCGCCTTCCTCTATATATATCCGTCTAATAAGTTATTTAAACACATAGTAGTCGCTTCTTTTGGGCTTGTTTCCATAGCCCTGGTTGCTTGTTTCTCTCCCAAGATGTGGCAACACTGACAAGCCGGCAAGCAACAACAACAATGGTGGCGTCCACAGGATCACAGGGAGCACGTACTGTTTGGACCCAGGCCCTGGAGACAGATCTGATTCAACACTGGGAAGAATATCCAGTAACACTTCATAAGACAGTCCACGTTTAGACTGTACCTCTCGCCCACTTTCCCGGGAGTTAGTGAATAACTCATACTTCCCCGGGGGTTAGGGTATAACTCCCAGGGAAGTATGTGGAAAGTGACCGGGAGGAGTTATACCCTAACTCCCGGGGAAGTACGTATATGCCAAGTGACCGCGTCGTTATATGGTAAGTGACTGGGAGGAATTATGCTCTAACTCCCGGGAAAGTACATATAAGTTCCCGGGAGTTATACGCTAACTCCCGGGAAAGTGGGCGAGAGGTACACTCTAAAACACGGGCTGTCTTATGAAGTGTCACCGAATATCCGTGCCTTTACAATGTGTCGTCTCCAAGTTTGGTGACGTCACCGTGTTATCTGGGGCTCTGTCGGCGAGGGCTCAGTGGAGAAATCTTGTGGTGTGCACACACAGATCATAAAGCAGTTGGCGAGACTCCCGATGACAGAAACACACATTGCCAGTTATGAACACTCAAAAGATTATGATAGTCTCCGTGACGCAAAATCAGGGTGAAAATTGTGTAATGTGAACTAGGCTTTAGGTGGTTAAAGTATGTTTTATACCTGCCCCTGTCCACAGCAGTACATTGCTTTGCTTCTGTGGCGGTACTCCAGCCTGCTTCTCCAAACTGGGAGCAGTGTTTATCTCGTTGACGAAAACTACAACTAAAATCTTCATCAACAACCTTTTTTCTATGATGAAAATGAGACAATGACGTACTAAAAATAGATCTTGGTAATAAAAACTAAGATGAAATCTATGTTTCGTTTTCGTTGACGAGATGTGATGAAAATGTTAGTGGTGGACTATTGGATGTTGAAAGCTGAGAACAGCCGTGCTTATAATTATTTTCAAATGCAGCATGAGTGACAGGCTGGTAAACTCCAGTAAATAGTCTGCACCAGGATGTTTTAGTAGCCAGCAGAAACAGTCAGAGCGGAGCAGCGTCAGCCGTTGGTGCGAGTTGTGAGCTGTAGCTCAGCAGTAAATAATCAGCCGTGTGTGTCTGACTGTGGATGGTGGAGCTGCTGAATGGATTTGTGGAGTTTGTTAGTTGCAGCAGTGGCTGTTAGCAGCTAGCTCCGCTCGCAGCCAGCGGCCACTGGACTTCACAGCTTCACCCCGCAGGACTCCACTCAGTCTGGACTGCAGAAGACTAAATCTAAAATAGCTGTCAAAATGAAAACAGACTGGGAGCGTGCTGACTGACATGTACTGGAGATAATACACTGACAGTGGATAAGTCCCTCATACAACCACACATCAAAATATCTGAACTACTCCTTTACTGCACAGTGTTGGGGGAGATGCAGGAGAGCTCAGGGCTCACAGAAAACAACTGAACTGAAACTAAATAACACGACGTGTGACTACAGTAAACTCCACTGACTTGCGAGGCAGATTGGGTTGTCGTTCTTGAAGCCACAAACAGGGATATCAGGAGGATGAACTCCACCCAGCCAGTGCAGCGTTGTTCCTGGTATGGCCGTCAGCTGCTCCTCTGAACTGTTGTACACCAAAACGATCTGGAATAAAACAAGATGATACACAGGGAAAGAGTTCCTGTCAGTCAAACACATAGACTGTATAATGAAGAGAGATGACAAGACAGAAGTGAAGCCAAAACATCTGGATGGCCCCCTGGTGGCTGGCTGCAGTATAGGTCATAAACCACGCCTCCTCCGTATTGGCGGACGTGAACCAAACTAAACAATCAAATTACACGTCAGATAAATATTTCCTTCAGATGGTTTCTGTCATTTCCATGCTGATGTTTGTTCATGTGCTCATGTTTTTCTGATAAATTTGGTTTTAATTTGATGCTATAAAAACAGGGTTCTACACCATGATTGACAGCTGTGTGTGTCAATCGGTGTGCTGATTGTGATTGGCCACACAGGTGTGTCAGTGGAAACTTGACACTATGGAGATCTTTACTGCACAGACTCTGGCTCCAAATGATGTCACCAGTGTGCGATGGCAGCAGCTGCATCTGGGATATTTTGGCATTATTTGGTGGGAGGAAGTGGAGACGCATCGTCCATCTTTATAAACAATCTACAGTCAAACTACATGCAAACAATACATCCCTAATAATTATATTATATATGTGTACATATATATTTAAATGAAATTGAATGTTCACCTGGAAGGTGCTGGTGTTGGTGTCCATCATGTCCCACAGAGCGAAGTCTGTCTCTCTGTCTCCGTTCTCATCCAGGTGGACGAGTCCTGTCACACCTGACGAACATGAATGAACACACAGAGTTTTAACATGGTGGTGTTCACTTTGGTTTTATCAGACAAGAAAATCTGTGTATGAGGCTCACAGCTTTAGCAATCTGTCATTTCAAACATTTTCACATCTCACAGAAAACCATCAAATGTGCAGCACCAGACTGAGTCTGCGTGGCATTGCTGTGTGCATGAAGATGAAGCATAATAAAATCAGGAGCAAGACAGAACTCGTAATAAAGATCCAGACGACTCCACCAACAGCTTCCATTAAAAATAACCGATATGAACAGAGAGAGACGGAAAGATGAGATTCATTGTCAGAAATGATTATTTTCTCTGTCAGTGTTTTTCTCTGCAGCGACGACAGTAATAAAATAACTGAAGTGATCTGAGATCATTCAGCTGTGAAGTAACTAATAACATTAGTGGTCTGAACTGAAGGTTCAAAGATCTGAATGATATCAGCTCTGTTGTCAGAAGAAAATGTTGGTTTGTACATTTCTGTAGACCATGAATACTGTACACTGCATTTGTATGTTTCATATGTATCACATCAGCGTCTCTTACGTGATGTAGTATATGAGCTGACTTGTCATCAGGAGGTGGAGGGGATGGTGGATGGTGTGTCACTGAGGTGAGATGCCTGCCAAGCTGCAGAGTGCCGTTCAAGTCCAACAAACAAAAGTGGTTGTGATTTAACGAGTCATTGCTATTTTTCCTGTGGCTTTTAGGCACCTGACGTGGCTGTGTTTTGGCGACCCATCTGTGTGTTTCCTGTCAGCATAGTGCCATGTTTTTTTATTGACACATTGCTGCTTTTCCGGCAGGGATTGTGCCCACAAAACTGCATGGTCTGTTCCTGACCATAACCAGGAGGTTTTAGTGCCTAAACTTTACTGGGAACTGCCCATTGGTTCGACAGCCCATTGTTCCGACTATATTAAACTCATTGTTCCGAAGTCCGTTCCGAAATCATCATGATGCCCTGTGGTTAAGGTCTGGTTAGGTTTAGGCACAAAAAACAATTGGTTAGGGTCAGGAAAAGATCATGGTGTGGGTTAAAATGAAAAAGAAAGTGACAAACACATAAGCCGTGAGCCTGCTCTACCTCAAGCCGGTCGAGGCGCACCATACGCCCGCCGCGAGCCGTTCAGCACCGCGGACAGTCGGACTAATGGGATGTCGAATCAATGACATGGACCCAACTTTACCACACGTTAACCACAGCACTGTGAAAACCTTCTGCTACATAATGATGTACAAATGTAACGTATCCTTGGTTTGCAGAAATGTACAATGCCAACATTTTTTCTGCCGACTGCTGATGGTTGAGGGTTTTGTTTTAATGCTGCTTTCTTCTTCTCTTCCAGTTCATCACAGAGAGAACGGTGTCACTTTTTCATCCACCACATAAACCACATAAACCTGGCAGCTTTAGTTATCTTACCTGTTAAGGTTTTTGCTTTGAAACATATTAAGATTTTATAAAGTTTGTTTTATTATAAGTTGAATTCCCCAAACGTAACCAGGGCAGCTGCTGGTCATTTGGGTGCTGCGTCGTGTTCACTGCAACTATCTTCAGTGTAACTCAAACTGTGTTGTGTCTGAGAGGGCCTTAACTGGGAGAGTTAATGCAATATATGTAGTTATGATTGATGATGGTGATGATGATGATACTGGTCTGTTTTGGTGTTTTGGTTATTTCAACCTGTCTCCTATCGTCCTAAATTTGTTTCAAGTGACTAGTGACATAAAAATAATAGTTAGCATGTTAGCTGTTAGCCTAGATACAGCCGGGGCGCATAGTAGCGTCAGACCTGTTAAAACGTAAGTGAACGGGCAACCTTCAAGTGCAAAGTTAGTCCACTAAACAAGCTTTTTTTCCACAAAGACCGCCTCATATCGTTAGGATAAATGTCAGAGAACATATAGAAAACGACATGTAAACGTGTTGTCTTACCTTACCGGTGTGCTGCAATGTTTGTTTACCATCTAGCTCTGCTTTCCAAAGCATGCCTGAAATCTCGCGAGAACAAGCAGCAACAGCTGGAAGGCAGAACCGGACAGTAGCCTGAAAAGTTCATTCATTTATTTTATGAAAGATTTATAGAATAATGGCTGACTTTTTGCCAGACTTCGACTTTGTGGAGGAGGAATTTGATTTTGCAGAGTTTGATGGCCGCCCTTATTTATTTGAGCCAGAACACACTGACGAAGAGCTTCGTGAAATTGAAGAACGGAGGAGGAGAGAGAGAGAGGCGCAACAGGTAGAGGACGAGAGAGGAGGAATGTCTGCTGCAAGGCTGCGTAGCTCTGGAGATTGGTGGTGTACCTGTGAATGCTGTGCCCCAGTGCCCACAGAAGAGGAATGCCTCTGTTGCAAGGAATGGGACCGGCTGCAGCCTTATTTTCAAGGTCTGGATGTGACCGAGGACGAGACACCTCCACCTGGAGTAGTATCCAGCTGGGCTTTATCTAGAGCTTGCAAGATTTCAGGCACGGTATGAGATCACTGCTTGTTCTCACAAGATTTCGGCCGCGCTTTGGAAAGCAGAGCTAAATGGTAAACAAACATGGCAGCACACCGGTAAGGTAAGACAACACGTTTACATGTCGTTTTCTATATGTTCTCTGACATTTATCCTAACGATATGAGGCGGTCTTTGTGGAAAAAAAGCTTGTTTAGTGGACTAACTTTGCACTTGAAGGTTGCCCGTTCACTTACGTTTTAACAGGTCTGACGCTACTATGCGCCCCGGCTGTATCTAGGCTAACGGCTAACATGCTAACTATTATTTTTATGTCACTAGTCACTTGAAACAAATTTAGGACGATAGGAGACAGGTTGAAATAAACCGAAATCTCCCTTTAAGGTTTCCTCAAAATAATATCGATTGCACAAAACACTCTTAAGTCCTCCTTAAGGTTTCCTTAAAATGTTCAATTAAGTATTTATGGTGTTCTTCTTGTCTTGATTTTATACTTAAGGAATCCCTTAATTGTTGGACAAAAGACCTTAGCGACCAAAGCAAGGTTAAAAAAAAAATTAAGGTATCCCTGACTCCATCTTAACTGCAACATGACTGAGTTTATGATGAATGAAAAACATAACACACCCTGAGCAGAGTGTTCTGTGACCAGGAGAACCTGATGGATACACTTTTGATTTTAATTTTCGTTGATTCTTCCTGTAGTCCTTTCCTGTTTTTGGGATCAAATTTACTTTGTAGTTTGTGCTTTCTATGATTGTATTCCTCCAGAAGTTCAATCTTCTCCTCCTCTGACCAGCATGGTTTTCTTGTCTTCTTTTCATCTGCCATTTTTTCACTATCTAACTATGAGCCAACTTTGTGAGACGATAACAGGAGTCACAAGCGTGAGTCCAAACAAACAATCTCCATGGAAACTTTTACAGCTGTAACATCTCTTTCAACACAGTAAATGAGTTAAAGTTTTTCCTGAACTAAGGAAACATTTTAAAGGATTCTGTGCAACTGTGTAAGTCCTTCTGCTAAGGAGAAATTAAGCCTTAAGTGTCATACATAAGGAGAAAACTTAAGGTGTTTTGTGCAACCGGTCCCTGAATACTTTCCTCCATCACTGTATGATACTGAAAGTATTTTACAGTTAGAGGCAACGAATCAGTTAAATCTGTAATTGTTTCTTTCTTTTCTCTGCATGCAGATGAGTTTTCACAGTCTGATGAAAATTCTGCACATTACAGTTTTGGCTGAGATAATTTAAAAACCTTTTAAAACTCTATATACAATGAGAGAGAAGAGAGAAGAGAGAGGAGGAGAGGGGGGGTCGACTGCACCTCTCTGATTTGCGGTTGACAAAAAACAAAAAATAGCCCTAAGAGGTTAATTACAGTCAATTAGCAGTTATGCGGTGACAATGTGTGTGCGGGTGTGTGTGTGGGGGGTGGCTATCAAGACCTGTGCGACTCATCTCCATAGAAACAAGGCAGTTAGAGATCAGGAGCGAGCAGGCTGTGATTGGTCACACATGAGGACGAATGAAGCAAACAAGTGATAAAACAGAAAAACGTCAGATGAAGTCCTGCAGCAGCACCAAACACAGCTGACTTATTACTCACCATAAAACAGAATAACGGCTAATCATTGTATTGTGTAAATCATATGAAATAAACTGATCCAGTGTGACCGTAAATTACGTTAAAATAAAATGAAAGGACGTTCTTCTTGTTGTGTCTGTGCTCACTGGCAGACAGCTTTACGGTGCTGACAGCAGCTCAATAAAATGCAGGTTTTATATTAAATATTTATCTTTTTCTTGTGCACAAAGTTTTTATTGTTTGGCTTTGATCATATTATGGTTTTACCAGGTGTTTTATTTCTGCAGTGAGGCCAGGTTATGTTGGGACATAATATGTGTCACGCACACATCCTCGTCTGCTTGCAATAAATTATTAGAGTTTAACTTTGCTTTCATTTTTTCAGGAAATAAATAAACCACCACCAACACACAGAAACAACTGAAACTGTGTGTAGGTGAAGAGAGCTTTTCAACAGCAGGAATATGTAGCTTCATTTCAAGTGTATAATGAATATTAAATAAATGATCTGTTAAGAACATTAAGCAGAATCATCAAAATTGTATCATTAGTGAGTTATTCACACATTGATTTTGCAACTCAGACTGCAGCAGTTCTCATTTTCATGGCCTGCGTCCACGTTACGTATGTAGCAAATGTACTTGCATCCATCTTTGCACCCAAAAAAATCCATAGAATAATCACTGAATTAGTTTAGTTGTAATCAAAAAATTAATCGTTAGAATAATTGAGAAACAATAATCAATAGATGAGCCGAAAAGTTTTGGGGGAAACAAGTTTTTCACAGCACAGTGCTGATGATCAAAAATGTTAATAAATGTAAAATTCACAGTATTAGCTGGTTTTGTTTTGATGATATGGTGAAGGCTGATGTCAGGAGGGGGCGGGGTCAGAATGTCAGGAGGGGGCGGGGTCAGAGTGTCAT